GGATAATTCTGGAACTGGTGGATATTAACCTTTACAGCACAACATGTCATAGAATTGTCTTCCTATTCCTAATTTACTACTGATGAGAGGTTGAAATATATAAATTCCCTTTACTGTGCTTATTTAAATAATCATATGTTATTTATCTCTTATGTGTTACAAATTTCATTAAAACTTTTTTCCCAAGTTAAACCAAGGCTTGCATTTCTGGATCAAAAAATTAATAATAATTTGGTCATGATTATTATCTTTTTCAGTGAACTGCTAGATTTGGTTTGATATTTTATTGGGAACTTTTCAATTTTTGTTCACAAGTGAAATGGGCCTGTTTGTTTTCCATTCTCACATGACTCCTCCGGTTTGGGTATCAAGTTCATACTAGACTCTGAACAAATTGGTGAGTGTTCCCTATTTTTTGATTGTCTGGACGTGTTTGTAAGAACCGTGTGATTAATGTTATGTTTCAACTTGACTGGGCTAAGAGATGCCCACATAGCTAGTAAAACATTATTTCTAGGCGTGTCTATGAGGATGTTTTCAGGAAAAGTTAGCATTTGAATGAGTAACTGAGTAATGCAGATGGCCTCCCCAATTTGGGTGGGCATCATTCAGTTCATTGAAAGCCTGAACAGAACAAAAAGATGGAGGGAGGGTGAATTCACTCTCTGGGTTTGAGCTGAGACATCCATCTTTTCTTGCCCTTGGACATCACTACTCCTGGTTCTTGGGCTTTGGGACTCAGATCAGGACTTACATCACTAACTTGTGGTTCTCAGGCCTTTGGACCCCTCATTATCAGGTTTTCACACTTGGATTGAATTGAACACTTGGAGTGGCTTTCTGGTTCTCCAGCTTGCTGATGGAAGATTATAGGACTTCTTGGTCTTCATAGCTGCATAAGCCAATTCACATAATAAAGCTTCCTTTGGTTTTCTTTCTCTGGAGAATCCTAATACAGATTAATTTTTGTTTTCATAAAGATTGGTAGTACATATTTTAAAATCAATCAGGTCTCATTTTTTAATGATATAATTTTAAGCTTCTGATTCAATTCCTTTAATTGCTAATTATTAAGTCTTTTTAGTTTTTGACCAGTTTTGTTTTTTAAATAATACTGACTTTAAGTTTTCAGATATATTTTCATAAAGTTGTTCTATATCTCTTTAAGTTTTGCTGCCTATATTTATGCTCTTCTTCTGGTCCCAGTATTTTTAATGTAATTAGTATATTGAATAAATAAAGATTATAATCAACATACAACAGATTTTTCTCCTATCATTCCTTAAAGCATATTTTACCCAAAGTGATTTAAAAAGAAATAGTATTTTCTGAAATTATTTGCCCTCAACACCACTAAATGAGATATGCAGGACAGAAACAACAGCATCACCTGGGAACTCTTGAGAAATGTAAATTGATGGGCCCCACTGAGTCAGATTCTCTAGGGACTGATTAGAGTCTGCATTAAATCAAGCTCTCCAGGCAACTGATGCTTAAAATTTGAGAAGTACTGTTAAAACTATATAATATCTCTCCGTTAAAAAACATAAATGTATGTAGCTTTATGTATTTATTCTTATTTTTAAGCTTTTATTAGCACCCAAACACAGAAAAGTACAGAAACGCTAAAGGTATGGCTCAATGCATGTTTGCAATGTGAACGTATCATTGTAAGCAGCACCCAGATCAAGAAACATGACGTTTACCTGTACCTCAACTTTTAACACGATTAATTTGCCTGCTTTTGAGCTTATGTAAATAAAATCATATAGTACCTTTCTATAGTTTCTGGTTTCTTCTGTTCAACATTTAGTTTATGATTTGTGACCACGTAGTTCTCCATACAAAAGTTCATTCATTCTCGTTGCTATATAGTACATTACTATAGGATTACAGCACAATTTATCGATTCTACTATTAGACACTCGAGTTGTTTAGCTTTTCACAATACAAACTGTCCTGCTATAGACAAGACATTCTTGTATATGACTTTTGGTGAGGACATGTGTCTTAGCCTGTTGGTGCTCTATAACAAAAAAATACAGACTCGGTAATTTATAAATAATCAAAATTTATTTCTTAAAGTTCTGGAGGCTGCACATAAAGGAGTCAGCAGGTTTGGTGTCTGATAAGGGTTTGCTCTCTGCTTCCAGGATGGTACCTTCTTGTTGTGTTTTCACATGGCTTAAAGTTGAAGGGGAAAAGGGGTCTAAGACAATCCCTTCAATCTCTTTTATAAGGTCTCTAATCACATTCATGAGGGTCCCACCTCATGATTAAATCATGCCCAAATGGCCCCACCTCTTAATGTTACCATATTGGCAATTAAGTTTCAACATATGAAATTTGGGTTACACATTTAGACTACAGCAATATGTATGCAAAATACACAAGGTATATATATATATATACCTGTACAAGTGTAGCTTATCTGAAAGTCTTTTTAAAAATATTGTCAAAATAGTAGAATCTTTTAAATCTCAAAAAAAATTATCACCACTTGAGGTAGATAAGCAGAAAAAAACACTTAAAATTTTCACCGCGGAATATGTTTTAGCATGTGGAAATTTAGCATGTTCTCTGAACAAAAAGCCTAAAAAGTTTATTGGTTTATTAAATCATTTTCAGATTAATGCATTATTTTGATCATTTTCACGTTGCCTAGATCAGTGATGTGCAACGGAAATATAATGCAAAACCACATATGTAATTATAAATTTTCTAGTAGCTACACTAAAAAATAAAAACACGTGAGATTAATTTTAATAATTTAATTAACTCATATCTAAGCTATAATCATTATAACATATTATCAGTACAAAAATATTGAGACATTTTACAGTTTTATATTGTCTTCCCAATCCAGTGATCCAGTGTATATTTTACATTTATAGTATATCTCGTTACAACCTCTCTAATTTCATCAGAAATATTTAATTGATATTTATTTTATAGAGACATGGTCTTGCTCTGTTGCCAGGCTGGAAGGCAGTGGCAGGATCCCAGCTCACTGCAACCTCAACTTCCCTGGCCCAACTTATCCTCCCACCTCAGCCTCTGGAGTAGCTGGGACCACAGGTGTGTGCCACCACATCCAGCTGATATTTTTTTTTGGAAACAATCTCCCTCTGCCGCCCAGGCTGGAGTGCAGAGGTGCAATCTCGGCTCACTGCAAGCTCGGTCTCCTGGGTTCATGCGTTCTTCTGTCTCAGCCTCCCAAGTAGCTGGGACCACAGGCGCCTGCCACCACGCCTGGCTAATTCTCTGTATTCTTAGTAGAGACGGGGTTTCACTGTGTTAGCCAGGATGGTCATAATCTCTTGACCTAGTGATCCATCTGCCTCAGCCTCCCAAAGTGCTGGGATTACAGCCGTGAGCCACCGCGCCAGGCCACATCCGGCTAATTTTTTAATTTTTTGTACAGATGGGGTCTCCCTGTGTTGACCAGGCTGGTCTCAGTCTCCTCACCTCAAGCAATCCTCCTGCCTCAGCCTCCCAAAGTGCTGGGATAACAGGCATGAGCCACCGACGCCTGGGACTTGATCAGTATTTAGATTTCATAAAGTTTACAGTTGAAAAAGTAGATTCACATACCTCAGTTGTTCCAACCATATTAAAAAAACTTTCCAATAGCTGAATCAAGTGCCAGTTTTTGAGTTTACTGAGATTAAAATTAAATATTCAGTTACTTCATCACACTAGGCACATTTCGAAAGCTCAATAGCGACATGTGGTTAGTGGCTACACTACTGAAGAGCACAAATCTAGGTCAACCTGTTTTCGTTGTTCTCCACATGTGAACTTAAACTGTAACGCAAATATAAAAAGAAATTATTTTATTTTGCATGATGTGGAAGACAGAAAAATTTGAAATACATTAGAATGAAAAAAAAATTGAATATGGGTCATTCAGAGACCTTGCCAAGAAAGTAGAAAAGCTTCTGTATAAGAGTATCGAGGCGATGGTACTATTATAAAGCTGTTCCACCACCGCGAGAACATTACCATCACTTCAACTGTCCTCTTACGTTTTAGTCTACTTTTTTCAAAAAAAAAAAAAAAAGAAAGAAAAGAAAAGAGAAACAAAAAGAAAAATTGAATCTGCAGAGGGCTCGCGTTTGTGCATGCTGTATGCACAAAGGGGGTGACATTTAGGGCTTGCTCTCAATTACAGTGCAATTTAATCTTCCAGTCACTAGGAATAACAACGTTTTATAACATTTCGGCCTGTTGGAATTTTGAACCTAAGGTGAACCGGCTGACATCATATCCCCCTTCTGCTGTCATAGGTTTTCAAAATTTGGTTTGATCTAAATTCTCTGGTACCTTATGTCCCATAAAAATTTCATCTAATTCGGAAGTAGTGACTGCTGCAGTAACCGTCTCATGAAAGTATATGGTTTTTACAAATCATTGTCGTGTAGAAGAAAAAACAGGTAGCAATATAAATATTTCATACTATTTATTTAGTCCCAAAATAATCAGAAAAGAGTCATCAAAAAATATCCTACGCTTAACTTCATGTTCTCAAGTTTCAAGAGAAAGTTTTTAAAGAGGCAATCCTTACTTTGGCAAAAATGCATTAAAGCTTGCTGCATTTAAGAGATGTCCCATTATGCAAACAGGTTGAAAGAATATTACAAGTACGTTTTGGAAAAATACGGAGTGTCGCGCAGCTCAGCAATCCACAGTCTTTAATGCGCGCCTCTTTCCAGGAATTTGATCCAGCATCAAAACCCACAGGTGCATTTACTGCATGGGAGTAGCAAGTAAATGATGTGCCAATATTCAACCTGCAACTGCGTCGTCGGAGCCTACCTCACCCTCAGCGTAACTTTCACCGGTACTCACCTTCCCAGAAACTCGCCCCAGTGAACAACCACCGTTGTCCCTAGTAAAGCCCTTAAGCAGGGTTCCCACGCTCCTGGGCTGGGCGGGGCGCCGGGGGCGCAAAGCATTCTTAAGAACACGACTGCGCAGGCGCTACCCTCCTCGCGCAGGCGCCGTACTCCCCCTCATAGCCAGAATTAGAGACCAGCCGGGTGCTGGGAGGTTAACGAGGCCGGCTAGTCCCGCCCCCGTATTGAGCGCGGTGCTTCTCTTCCGCTCCGGGTGGGGTCTGCTTCCCTTTCCGGGCGGGCAGGCAGCGAACCCCAGTGTCTTTATCCCTCTTTTGCACAGAGTCAGCTTCTGCAGCTCTCCCTGGCTGGCATGGCAGCGTGGAGGAGTTGGGCCGCTCTGCGGCTCTGCGCCACAGGTAATGGGCGCGCAGCGGTCGGAACCTGGCCCCGCCGTGGGGCCGGGATTGGGCTCGGGTCTGGGGCGAGGCCTGCGGGGCCCGCGGAGATGCCCACCCGGTCCCCGGCAGCGTCCTGCCGTCCCCGCCCCACCGCCCTGCCTGGCCGTGAAGGAGCGGACACCTGAGGGTCCTTCCGCCGCTGCTGTGCGGGACCAGTGCTGGACGTGGGAAGGGCGCGCTGCCTTGTGTTTGTGTTTTTCTCATTGTGGCAGGAAGTTTCAGTAAAGCTTACTCCTTTGATGGGCAAGAAGGATGCCGCCGTCCCACCTTAACGACCAGATCTTGTCTTGACTTTAGGTTCCGAGTCTTGTTATGTTTAAGGGTTTTTACCACCAGTGCTCAGAGAGGGTGGTCGAGGACAGATCAGGGTCAGGCCGCCGGGATTGTGCGGTGTGAAAAGGACCTGAGTGTGTGTCAGCGGTTCTCAGCTGCCTCCCGTCAGCACGGAGTGCCCTCATTCTCACTGGGGTCCGCTCACTTAACCTTTTAGAATCCACTCTGTGTCAGACACGGCCGTGTAATAAGTATTAGAGTTACAGCTCGACTTTCTTTCTATTTGGGGGTAAATATTTTGAATGACATTTGGAGTTTTTACTGAAGAGATAATTGCTATTAAAGCAAAAGAAGTATAGAAGAATGCTGTCTATATTCCAAAAAGATGGAATGGTAAAAAGGAGAAGTAAGATGAGAGTGAAAATGAGGAAAAAGGAACTGTGTATATTAGCTTTATTGGCTTACCTAGAACTTGGCCGGTCACCATGTGGTTGCATACAGACTATTTATTAAATGGATGAACTACTTTTGCTTTTGCATCATTTGCACCCTGGGATGTATCAGTGATGAATTTTTTGGTAGGTTGTAAAAGGTCAAAAACACCTCAAAGATGACTAAGCTTATACAGTATGAGCCAAATAATCAGCATTTATTGTGTACGTTTTGTCTTTTTTTTTTTTCCAGTTGTTTTACTTGATATGGTCGTCTGTAAAGGATTTGTAGAAGATTTAGACGAATCGTGAGTATACATATATATATTTAAAATATTATTTTAACTGTCCAACTCATATATCTGAATATTTGCATGTGAATCTAGTATTTTAGATTAGAACCAATTTTTATATATTACTTATTTTTTTCCACTTCTTGTAAGCTTTATATAGATACAAAATGAGGGTGTGCCCAAAAGAGTGTTATTAATAGTTATGAGATCAAAAAACAGTGGCAAACTTTTACATATTCTTTTTTTTTCCCATTATCTTACCTTGTATTTGTTGTGTCTTTTTGCTTTCATTATATTGAATGGGGGCTAGAATTTGGTAACTCTACTGTATTTATCTTCATAGTGTCACAGCATTAGTCAACCTTGCTTATAGTAAGTGAGGAGGTTCCCTTCAGACCAAAATCCCATGTGTGATCTTTCAGGCTTGACCATAGACAATTGCAAGGATTTTTCTGGCATAGGGGAAGGTGCCCTCCCTACACCAAAGTTGGTGTATAACCAGTGCATTGCAGTCCCTGGAGGGAGTGGCAGTCAAGGATTCGGCCTCCCAGGCCAGCCACGCTCATTTGCATGTCTGCTCTCTCAACCCAGTGGCCTGTTGTTTGGCAGCCTCCTTATTGGGGCCTCACCTGAGGCATTTTCCAAACACCTCTGCTAAAACATCTTTATTGAGGGTGTCAGCTGAGGCACTTTTCTACTACTAGTCCTTTTCTCTCTCACCCGCCTCCCCATAAAGAGACAGAAGACTTTTGTTCAGTGCTCCTAGGAAATGAGATGAGTTCTCCCATCTGTGTCGCATTCACCTGACTCACCTGGTGCGGTTTCATGGGGAGAGATAGAACACTGAGGAGCTGTTGCCACTTTTTTTTTTTTTTTTAACCTCTTGACTTGCACTGTCACAGTAAGTGAATAAAGGCGTGATTGTTAGTTTCAGTTTCGCTTGTTGTTCTAGTTGACTACCTGGTCACCTGATAGCATGACCAGACGGGTGCAGTGAGAGGGTAGTCATACAGCACGGTTCTGTAAGAGCAAAAATTCTGACAGTCCCATGGGGGCACTTCGCTGGTCATGCTGTTGGGCCGTGGAGGATGCTGGCTGATTGTTTGCAGAAAGTTTTTGATTCTGAGAAGAACCACTGTTAACAAGGAGATAATCTTATTAAACTCAGTGCTTTGTGGGGTGTGTCACTACAGACTTCCTCCTTCAGGGCGTCCTGACAGGGGCAACTCTTCATGAGCAGGAGGAAGGGATTCTGCTCCTAATAACCATTTTGTTACCCATGCGGATGCTCACCAGAAAGGACCCTGTGCTGAGAAAGAGGACCTTTACCAAGAGCAAACTATGTTCAACAGCTAAATGTGGAAAATGAATTGTTCCTTGTTCCAGAGCAAGCAGATGTGCAACCAGTTGCCTCCTGGATCCACAAGAGATGGCCCACGGAAATTCAGACAGGATCCTAGATTGGCCAAGAACGCGTGGACTGTGACGGTTGTGAGAAGATACCATAACAGCATGAAAAAACTGTCTTGCTTGTCAGACCCCAGTCAAGGCTAACAATACTGTCCAGGGACAGGTTCATAAAGCCAGTGGGCCACCGTATTCTCAGCAGACAGAACATGGTGGGCCTCTCATTCTGTCTGTAATGTTCCTGTGGCTACTGATTGCGGCTGACCTTTCTCTGGGTTTCGCTTAGCCATTCCTATGTGTTCCAATGACTCGGGCCACACTGTCTAGGCCCTGCAAGACCACCTTTGTTTCCTGTTCAGTTACCTTAAGAACACTGCATCTGATAATGACCCTGAATTTTTGGCCCAGGCTACACATCAGTGAGCCCAATTATGGGTGATACAATGGGCTCTTCGTGTGCTATAAACTCTAATCCACAGGGGTGGTTGAGCATTTTAAGGGACAGTTAAAGGTTAGGCTTAACCAGCTGATGGTGAAGTACAGTACTCTGGCCTGGACTACACATCTCAGGAGAGTAGTCTGGGATCTCAGCACAGGAATTCCTCAATCCAGTATTTTTCACGAGCATTTTATGAACTCTGAGCCATCATTACCAGGAAATGGTGAGAACGCTTCTAAAATCCAAGTTCCCAGATGCCAACCAAGGACCAATCTTGCAAACAGTTATTTCTAAGCATAGCAGCCTCAGGCTTCCTTTGGTACCTTTTCTGCACAGGTGTAAACTGTTCTAGAAGGGCAAGGAGCTTCGGCATCTATTTGTGTTTCTAGCAAGTCCTACTTTAATTCTTTTTGTTGGAGCCTCTCCTCCTAATTACTTTATTGTTGATCAGTTCTCTGCTTTTATTTTTAAGATGTTTAATGGATAGGTCACTGAGTAAAAATTGTATGTAAAATTTTATTGAAGGAATTTGGTTCTTTCCCTTATATTTATCAATGTATTATCTCTGCCTATACTATACAGTTGTAAAGTGGGCACAAACATACAATCAAAGATTTGTTTTCTTGTTTTTTAGGTTTAAAGAAAATCGAAATGATGACATTTGGCTTGTAGATGTAAGTATGTAAATTTTATATGCTAGTTACCCCTACCATTTTAAGTATTGTTTTCTATTCTACTCTACCCAAAAATGGTGGTATACAGCTAGTGCTTAAGTATATACTCAATTTGTTTTCTTAAGTATTATTATATTTGAGATTTCACATTACAAAGAACCTCAGAGTTTTAAGGTTCCTCCCAAGGGAACCTATTTTTGATGAAATTTTGGGGGCGAGGGTTTTAAGAGGAAAAGCTGGAACCCTGTCTTACAATGAGGTCAACTTTTGGATTATGTCTTAATGATATAGGGTATGATTTTATTGCAGAATTCACTCTTGTTTTCTTGATAGTTTCCAAGAGATTGAGTATATTAGTATCACTTAGTCAAAGTCATATTTTCATCTTAACAGTGAACAAAATTAAATTTTCACCTCCCTTTCTTTAAAGTTTGGAATATATTTAAACCTTATGATAATTGAGATTTAACATGCCTCAGCAAAAAGTAGAACAGCAGCAAAAGAGATGGAAAAAGAATGACAGAGTTGACAGAGGGTCCACTGTTTAATTCTTTCTCCCTTTCTATATGTTTGAACATTTTCATAGTATAAAGTTAAAAAATCTTATTTCATGAAAATATAACAACTAGTTTGTAACACCACCTAACTAGAGGAACCTGAGTATCACCTCCACCATCTGGTAATTCTAAAGAAGAGTAAAAGACTGTGACTTTAGTTTAATCAACCTGACTTGTCCCTATGCCAAACCATCATCTTAATGACCTCCCCTGTCTTGCCAGTGGTTACGATAGAAGTCAGCAAAGTCACCTACTGTGTTAAATGTTTTGTAATAGGAAATTTATCATTAACAATTAGGTGTGTATGTTGTATGGTATATATGTTTATTTTGTGGTTTCATTTTATGTAAAACATTTCATACAGAACATTTACTTGGAAGTAAAGACATTCTTATTGTGAATTGTGTATCTGTTTTAAATAAGTATCAGTAGTCAATTAAAATGAACTTAAGATAGTACCGGTTTTGAGGTATCTAGTTTTATGTTTGTATGTTTTGGTCTTTCATTATGTATCTACTTTAAAAATTATATTTAAACTTTGTGTCTAAAACATTATTAGATCATTTAGTCAAAGGGATTATTTAAATATTAAGATTCATATTCGCTGTAACACATTTTAATGGTTATCTTTTTTTTTTGTTTTTTGGTTTTTAAAACAAGTTTTATGCACCATGGTGTGGCCATTGTAAAAAGCTGGAACCGATTTGGAATGAAGTTGGTCTTGAGATGAAAAGCATTGGTTCTCCAGTTAAGGTTGGAAAGATGGATGCTACTTCCTATTCTAGTAAGCCTTCACTTAGTTTATTATTTTACTGTTCTCACAGCAAAAACAGTTATATGCAGCAGTATTCAGGGTGGGAAGAAGACTTTTTGTTCATGTAAAATTCAATTATCTTAATAATTTAAGACTGTATACTTATGAGTTAAATGAATTAGCCATTGAACATATAGTGTGTGGTATATGTTAATCTTATGCTTAACAGGTGTTTAAACCATCTTTTCTCCTTTGAGACCACTTTAGATAGTTTACAGGAGGCAGCTATAAAAAGATGAGTGTTAAATTATTGATATTGCTACTTGAGTTCAGAATCAGTTTTTTTCTGAGTGGCCTGAGATGTGCTGTAAAGGACCTCGAAGGATGAATTGAGTTAGGGTAAATACAATGAGGATCAGGAAGGTTTTCACATTAGAAAAAATACTAGAGCAAATAATAGAGTGTAAAAGAGGTTAATGAGTGTGTATAGGGGAATAGAATGAAGTGGAGGTGAGCAAACCTTGATCTGTAGGCCAGATTTCTCCTACTACCCATTTTTATAAATAGAGTTATATTGGAACATAGGCACAATCGTTTGTTATCTGTTTAGGGCTGTTTTTGTGCCCCCATGGCAGAATTCCATAGTTGTGACAGAGACTGTATGCCCCAGAAAGCCTGAAGTATTTATTTGACCTTTTACACCAATACCTGTTTTAAAGGATTTGGGAAAAAGAAGAAGTTAAATTTAGAGAAGTGTGAGGTGTTGTAGAATTTGGAAAGAGCATAGCTTTCAGAAAGCAGATTTGGATTCAGATCCTTGCTCCTGCTACTTTTGCTGTGTAACACTGAGAAAGTTTCTGAACAAACCTAATCTTTGGTTTCTATATTGATAAATACTTAATTATAATGCTGCTTTTATTGGTGGTTTTGAGGTTTGAGTGCTCCAGCAGATATAAAATCTTTTGTATTCAATACATGCAGTTTCTCTTTCATTAGTGAAGAAAGTGGAAGTATGTAATGTATATTTCTTTTTGAGAAATCAGCATTTTACTATGGAGCAAGATAGAGCTATGTTTTAATCTCAACTTTGCCATGTCCTACTTTTGTAGCTTTGGGAAGCACTTAGCCTCTCTTAATTTTAGTTTCTGTATCTACGAAGGAGAGTGATAATCCTCAAGGTTGTGGAAATCATATTAATATCTTGTATTTAAAATCTCCTAGCACAATGGCTGCACATATATGACACCAAAGGATAATGCCAGATTGTTAAGAGCTTCCCAGGTCAGGCGGTGTTTTGGATTTTATCACTTGTCAGTAGGAGGTAATACACATTTTTGTGAAGGCCATGACTTGATAAAAATATTTTTGGCAGCAACTTTTAGGATGGGAAATAAAGAGTATGTAGAAACAGGGAGATCATCTAAGTCAGCTTTGTGTATATATCGTGGTGTTGGATGCTGGGAGCCTGGTGTTGTGGGTGGTGACAGTAGAGTATGATGGAAACTAATTTTCATAGACATGCTTCGTACTAAAATCACAGAAGTAACAGATTGATTGGCTTTGTACTGTAAAGAAAATGAGAAAAAAGAATAGTGTGAGATTCCTAGTATAGTTACTGAACTATGCTACCACTGGGTATATGCAAAATACCAGTTTTAATTTTGTGTGTGTTTCTAAGTTACCAACGATTTTGAATTTGTGGTCTTTTTTTTTTTTTTTTTTTTTTTTTTGAGACGGAGTCTCGCTGTGTCTCCCAGGCTGGAGTGCAGTGGCGTGATCTCGGCTCACTGCAAGCTCCGCCTCCCGGGTTCACGCCATTCTCCCGCCTCAGCCTCCCAAGTAGCTGAGACTACAGGTGCCCGCCACCACGCCCGGCTAGTTTTCTGTATTTTTAGTAGAGACGGGGTTTCACCATGTTAGCCAGGATAGTCTCGATCTCCTGACCTCGTGATCCACCTGCCTCGGCCTCCCAAAGTGCTGGGATTACAGGCTTGAGCCACCGCGCCCGGCCTGAATTTGTGGTCTTTTAACTGATGTTTGTGAATAGGGACCTACAGTGTAGGTGAGATATTAGTGCTGGAATTATTGAGTCACACGAATGAAGCGTTGAAATTTTGAGAGGAGAAGAGATAAATGGCAGAAATTGTTAGAGACAGAGGGAGAATATGTTTGAGTTGATATTTCTTTGAAATAAGCTTTTAACAATGTCTAAGAAGTTACCGTTTTCTACTGTTGCTCTTGAAAGTAATTACTTGTTTCCATATATATATATGTGTATATGTTGATTAGATTTGCATACACATACTTCTTCATAGATGCATTTATTCATTTGTTCACTCAATCAATGTTTACCAAGAACTATTTGTCAGATACTGTGCTAATCTCTAGAGATTAAAGAAAGACCCAGACAAATCCTGCTTGTCCTGGAAATGCTTACAACATAATAAAGGGAGAAAGATGAATAAACTAACAAGAGCAGTAAAGTCTTAAAAATGGCAAATTGTTGTGATCACTTGAATAGGTCAGTGGAGTCACAGAGTCATATATCAAGGAATATGGGAATATGAAGAAAAATAGTCAACGAGAAAAACAGAGCATATGAACCAGTACAAATCTTAGTGGTAAAGTGTTCATGTGATAATTAACAATTTACATTGTCAAATTCTACATTGCATCTAACTCATTAGTTTATTATTCAGTTTTAAGTGCCCTGTGTACTACTATTTATTAAGTGGCACTATGATTAGGGAAAAAAATAGCCAAGATTGTTTTCCTGAGTCACTTAGAGAAGAAAGTGTTTTAAATGCTATTTTTAAAAAGCAGTAGTAAGACCTCATATACAGGTTGCAACGTTTTACTCATTGGATATGGAATGCTAAACCTCCACCATCCCCCTCTCTCAACTACTTGCACCCGACCTTGCATAGTGGGGCTTGCTTGTAAATCCTACTTGAATTATCCAAACATAGTTTATTGAAAAAAAAAAAAATCCCTTTGTAGAAAAGTTGTAGAGTTAGCATTCATTCATTTAGCAGACACTTAATGTGCTTACCATGTTGGGATATGCCTGGCATATACCAGGTACTGGTGATACATCCTTGAGCAAAACAGATAAAATTTTCTGCTCTTACGGAACTTACATTCTTGTGGGAAGAGACAAACAGTAACTTGTGAACGTTAGTCAATTGTCTAATGTTATTTTCTAGACCATTGTTAGAGTTAAATGTCAGTGATGGAAGCGTTATCCACTTAAATATTAGCACCAAGGGAATGTTTTATGTGTAATGAAGAAACGTATCCTCGTAGTATTAAAGAAGTTAAGTATTCAAAAACCACCATTCACGTATTAGAAACAGATTTTTGCCTTGTGAATTTCAAAGTTTTCCTAAATAGTTCAAGGCAGCTCAAATACAGACATTTTAGTGGAACTTGGAATCAAACAGGTAAAAAATGGAATTATTTTCAAGTCATCTGCCATTTTTATTCTAGGTCCACCTATAGAATACTAAAGGATTGACTGTTTCATAGATACCTCTTGCAGCCCAATAGGTTGCTTTTCAGACAGTCACGGTATCACTGTTCCTCAGCATGTAATCTGTAGACGACCTGCAATAGAATTACCTGGGTACTTATTGTCAGTTCAGACTCTGAAGACCCACCCCAGTCCTCCTGGTGAAAAGTGAAAACCTTTGCAGTTGGGTCTTGAGAGTCTGTATTTTTTATTTTCTTTCTTTCTTTCTTTCTTTTTTTGAGACAGAGTGTTGCTCTTGTTGCCCAAGCTGGAATGCAATGGCACAATCTTGGCTCACTGCAACTTCCGCCTCCCGGATTCAAGTGATTCTCCTGCCTCAGCCTCTCGAGTAGCTGGGATTACAGGCATGTGCCACAACGCTCAGCTAATTTTTTGTGTTTTTAGTAGAAACGGGGTTTCACCGTGTTAGCCAGGCTGATCCCAAACTCCTGACTTCAGGTGATTCGCCCTCCTCCTCAGGTGATCTGCCTGTGTCGGCCTCCCAAAGTACTGGGATTACAGGCATGAGCTGCAGCGCCCAGCCGAGAGTCTGTATTTTTAACAGCACTTCAGATGATTGCACTGCACACTGAGGCTGGAAAACCGCGAAGTGTAGAATGTTATTTTGGTAGATAGTTATAGGATTTTAGTGTGGAGTGGGATAAAACTATTCAAAGTGATGAAGGTTATACAGTTTCTAAGAGTCTTTGATAATAACTTATTTCTCAATCATGTATTAAATCATTGCCGTAGTTAAATCACTTGCCGTATTAAATCACTTGCTGTAGGCAGGTGCCATCAGACTCAGTCCAGCAAATCTGTGTGTACAGAATTTTTGAACTAGAGTAATTTGAACTGTTATGACTTAGTCTGCTCTGTGTTTGGAATTATACCAAAAATGTCTTGATGCATAGAGTTAACTAATACCATAACCAAATAATATAAAAAATTATGTCCAGTGTAAATCCAGATGGGTGTTTTAGCTTCTCTTTTTGTACATACCTCTTCAAAATGAGTGCTAAAAGTATTTCTCATTTGGAAGTTAAAATATGACATAATATTACCTATAGTGGCATGCTGATCTTTATTATGAACCACTGAAATTCTGTTACTCTCCAAACTAAGTGTGACATCATTTTATGATAAAGATCACATTTTAGCCCTCTTTTGTATGTAAATTTGAAATGACATTTGGCCAATAACATTCTGACATCTTGTTCATAGATTGTAGTTAAAAATTAATTTTACCTTCCTAGATTATAAACTCTTTTTGGTCAGTGACTGTTTCAGGGCTTCTCAACCTCGCATTATTGACATTTTTGGGCTAGATCGTATGGTGGGTTTTTTTGTTTGTTTGTTTGTTTTTGGTGCAGGGGAAGGCAGTGACTATGTCTCAAGGTTTATCAGCCTTGCACTATTGACATTTTGGGCCAGATAATTCTGTGGGGTTTTTGTTGGGAGTTGGATGGGAGGAGGAATCCTGTGCATTGCGGGATGTTTAGGAGCATCCCTCACCTCTACCCACTAGATACCAGTTGTGTTCTCTCCCAACTTCTTCCTTCCCCCTTACTCGCTGTTTTTGGCAAACGAAATGTCTTCAGTTGATGGTAAACCACTGCCATATTTTATACCCTTTTTCTTGTTAGACACATAGTGACATTCAGTAAATACTAAAATATGTAGTATCTTTGAGCTAAAAAGGACTTTAGAGGTTGAGTAACTTCTCACTCCTTTCACCCTTTCCCGTTTTATAAATCAAATAACAAGGAAACTAGAAATGAAATGACTGAGTATTTCACACACCAAAGTTAGAAACAGAATTAGGCCTAGTATCCAAGCTCACCATGATTCACATTCATACTTACCTCTAGCAGCAGACTGTTACCATTTCAAGAAGAAAATAGAAATGAAGTAGAAGACTTCATGCTGAATCTTGTTTTATGAACATATAAAATCGTAAAACTTCAAAGGTATAACTCTTGTTGCAAATGGACTCTTCAATTTATGAAGGAATTGAGCTCAGATTTCTATATAAACTATTTTTCTCTAATATGAAAAAGTGAAGAATAAAAAAAGTCAATTAGACCGCGTTTCAATCTCAGCCCTGCTGCCTACGCAATGTTCGCTCTCAAACAAGTTACCGAATCTTCCTATTTTAGTTTCTTAATCTGAATTAGCTCTATTTTTTTCTTCTTCACAAAATTGTTTTCTCTCAAACAAGTTATCGAATCTTCCTGTTTTACTTTCTTGATCTGAATTGCCACTATTTTTTCCTCCTCACAAAATTGTTTCGAGGTGCAATTTTAAAATGTTAATGCCAGTTATAAAATATTCTGCACATTAATTTTATTAATACTATGTGTGCATTGTGTCCAGCAGCTAATTAACGAAGTCAGGATCAAGAGTAGGAAGGAAAAGGATCTAGCATTTAAGAATCTTCTATGTGCCAGACTCAAATTGTGTTCCATTTATTTTTTTCATTTTAAAATCCCAACCTGTAGCCCTGCAAGATGAGTAGTATTCTCAGAAGGGGAATCAGAGAAGTATAAAAAACCATCCAGAGTTACATAGATGATAAATGAAGTTGGAATTCTAACCAGGGCCATTATGTGTTTGTAACTCCCGCTTTGCTTTATTTTATTTTATTTTATTTGTTTATTTATTTTTTGAGGTGGAGTCTTGCTGTGTCACCCAGGCTGGAGTGCAGTGGTGCGATCTCGGCTCACTGCAAGCTCCACCTCCCAACTTCACACCATTCTCCTGCCTCAGCCTCCCGAGTAGCTGGGACTACAGGTGCCTGCCACTACGCCCAGCTAATTTTTTGTAGTTTTAGTAGAGATGGGGTATCACCGTGTTAGCCAGGATGATCTCGATCTCCTGACCTCGTGGTCCACCTCGTGCCTCGGCCTCCCAGAGGCTTTTTAAAAATATTATACTGCCATTCCCCTTTAGAGAAATCTAAGGCTGAAGTTTTATAGAAGTTACTATCAATTCTAATTAGGTCAGAAGTGAAGGTTAATGTTCATGGTCAAGAAGCCAAGGGCTGTGAGTTGGGTGATAGATCTCCATTGTCTCGACGTGAATACTGAGGTCAAGGAAATGATGTGATCGGGTTAAGTGTGGAGCTGGGATTTTTCTCTCTGCGGCTTACGAGATCCACAATATCCGGCTATGAAGCACGACCAGTGTGTTTTCTCATTGATTGCATGCTTTATTTTCTTTATTTGATTTGTGTATAAATACATTTTGATTTAAATGAGTTTTAGTTAAAGGTAATAAGGGATTTTATTTCCCTGTCTTCTTAATTTGGGATGTTTCCCTGTCTTCTTAATTTGGAAAGGGATCATTAAGAATATTCATTATTCACATAATCTCTCCAAAGTAGTTTCTGTGTTTTTGCTGGGAAGAAGGCAATCTCCATACCCACAGTCTCCAATTAGAACATACTTGACAGAATGAAGTCCTAGATTACAGATGGGCACAAATAAATTACATGCTTGCTGTGAGTTTGCATGTCTGTTCAGAAGCAGGACCTGTATCTTCAGAACTTGAGTTCTTAATTATCACCTCTGCTGTCTATGCTACCTCTAAGGAAAATACGTGTCGGCCACTGTCCAGGTCTCTCTATTTGCCTATCTCCATATGTTTAAGAGAGAAACTAGAGTTGACGAAGGAAAAATTTTAGATATTTTGTCACAAATCGACTGCCCTTATTCTTTTGAATTGAATTGGTGAGTTGATGAGAAACCAAAGACTAGTGAAGATTACTAAAGTGATTGTTAAACTGGAATTCAGATGCAGTAGGTTCCTTACCCAAGTGTGATAACAAAATACCTGGAAATAAAGAAAATTACAAAGGGAAAGATTATGTGAATAATACAGTGTACTTTTCATATACTAGGGTATAGTTTTGTAAATATCTTTATGGTATAATGTGTGTTAACTGAAAATATTTTTTCTTTCCTGTCCTGGTGGTGTTTTGTCGTAAAGTAGTGTTGCATTAGTTTGGTATATGATTTCTCTACTTTTTAACATCTTATTTCCTTTTTGATATTCGCTTGTTTTTGTTACTTTCTCCTTTCCCCTCAAAAGATGCTATTGTAGCATCCATTCTCATTTTAATTCATGTGAGGATTTCAGAATAATCTTTGAGATAATTAAAATTACTCTAGGTTATCACAAAAGCAGAAACTCCTAAAACAAAGTTGCTTTTCAATCCTGTGATCCTGTGTTAACTATAGTAATTAATTTTGCAAATGCGAGTTATGTTTTTAAAATTAGAATACCTTGCAGTTCTTTGAAAACTCAAAAAACGCTAAAGGAAGAGATAGGCTTTTTTTTTTTTTTTTTTTGAGAGGAGTAAATGAGACCTAGAAGAAATATTTGTCTTGGACATGAAGTCAAATGAGAAGTACTTATGTATTTTTTTTTTTACCAGAATATCTTTTAAAATAAGTATTTTATAAATTTTTAACTATTCTTTTGACATGCATTTCTTATTTTGTCATAGTGTTTTGTGCAGATCACAGATTGGATTATTAAGTAATTGTTTGGTATGAGAATGTCCTGTTTTTTTCTTTTGTGTGAGTTTATATTCTTAAGACTTAAAAACAACGTATCTATATGGGTTGTATAAATATTTCTATATTTTTAAAGTAAAAGGCTCATTTGTTACCTAGTTTCTCATATTTTAAAAAAATTTAGAATGCTTTATTCTTTTTCTTATCAAGGCATTGCTTCAGAGTTTGGAGTTCGAGGTTATCCAACAATTAAGCTGTAAGTTGAGTGTTGTATGTTTATATGTGTATTTTTATTAGTTCACTCTACTTAGTAGATTCCTTGGAGGACTGAAGATTGGGGTTTGGCCATTCTTTATAAGTGAAGTATGTAATTAAAGGAGAGGGACTGCTTCTTTATGCTTTTCTTCATATTTAAGTCATCATGTTGTTTACGGCTAATTCACATGTTTTGCTTGCTGTGTGACACGCACTGTGCGGGACAAGGTATACAGTCATAAATTATGAAAGGTCTTTTACCCTTGAGGAGTTGAAGCGTGGATTGTGAGATAAAAGAAATACAGAGAGTCAAAGTTGATGATATTAATTCTAATCTGTAGGAGTTGATCAAGTCTAATAAAGTGTACAAGTTGAAAGAAATGTGGTAATTCTAAAGGACTTGTTTTGTAATCATGACTTCATTGCATTTTCTCATATTTTCATTAATCTTATTTTGATAATGCGGGGAGCTGTGGAATTGTTCTGAAAGTTATTTTTATAATAAAGTAAGTTTAAAAAATATTTAAACAACTCAAATTTTTAAATGTAAATAATTTCAGTTTATATCTTGGGTTTTGTGTTGACCTTTCTCCTTCCCCCACTTTTTAAAAATGTTTGCTTACCCTCTTTTACTTTTTGTGTTAAGTAAATGATCCTATCTTTTCCTTCTGTTTAATTGTAAGTATTCTATTGTGCTTCCCAGTTTTTCCTTTTTAAAATTTTAGTTAATTAGGCACACAGATTAATTCATTGGTTGGCTTTTGAAGAATTACATACGTTTCTAGAAGAGCTGTTTTTATGCATCGTTTTACTCTGTAATGTTGGAGCATCAAATAACTGTGATGTTGTATTAACATTTATTTTGCCTCTTCCAAAATAGTCTTATTTCCCTGTCCTTTCATTTACCTTTTGAGAGGGAACATAGTGAGAATTATAGTGCTTTAATTTTCCAAGCTCTTGACCATGAGTGTGTCGATTATTTTTCAGAAGGCATAGATACAATGCAATTATCAAATGCAGCATAAAATATTTTCATGTAATTTTAATAGAATGCAGCCTCTTTCTTTTGATTTGTGTTACTGGTCCTCTGACCACCCTAATGCCTACCATATTTTACATGAGAGCTACTTCTAAAACTTCTCTGCATTTGCTATTTTATATAATATAATTTTATGAAACAGTGGATAATGATTAACATTAAATATTAAAACAGTTAAAACAATCCGAGTTTTAATCTTTTTTTTTTTTTTTTTTTTTAAGATTAAAAGGGGACTTGGCATATAATTATAGAGGACCACGAACAAAAGATGATATTATTGAGTTTGCTCACAGGGTATCTGGGTAAGTTATTAGGAAAGGCCTTTACTGTATGTTATTAATATTTGAAAATTAAATATATTTTAATAGACTGTATTGAACAAACATATTTTAAGGACATACCTAGGTAAAATTTATTTGATTATTTACTTATGAGAGAAGATAGGATTATACAGCATATCCAAAGAAATGCTTTAAAGAAACAGAGACCATGGTTTGTATTATATACTTGTTAACCTCACATTTAAATTCATTTTGTCTGTAGAAGAATTTTCCCCAGTGATTTTTTTAATACATTTTCCAGATTTTGACTACGTGTAGCAACTCTGTGAATCTTGATTTTTATTTTATGATAATTTTTTATTGGACTGCCTGGTTCAGAGTTTTCAACAAAGCCTTGGGATATTATTGTTCTGAACAGACTTGGGCTTTCATCCATACTCTTTGATACTCAAAAATGTATTTTAGATACAACTAAAATATTTTTCATTATTTATCACATACTGCTTTCTGCCAGCTGTGAGGTATTCGTGCATTTTATACTTAGCATAGTTTAAACCCAAAGACATAGTTAAAACCCAAAGATTATTCAAGTTACTGATCCCTAAAGTTTTACTGATAAGGAAACAAATTCCTTTGTAAGCATTTCTTGTTGGTTTGAATTTGTCACTGATTTATTTAAATCTACGTTTTGATGGGATATAAAGAAAGTCGGTGCTTAGAATTATTTAACATGATCATGTGAAAGTTCTTGAGGAGAATGGTCGTCAAGCTGTGTTAATCTTTATTGGCTTTAAAGTATAGGCATTTATGAGTTTAACAGGATATATTATACTGATAGTTTTAAATAGCTTTAATTTAAATTAAAATGGAATGGATTTGTGGTGGTACAATACTGTCTCAAATTATTTGAGAAAATTCACAGGATTAGGAGTGATCTTTACATATTAAATTTGTGGTGCTTACTGATGTAATTTTCACTGTATTTTTCTCATTGACTATGTTTCATTTTATTTCCTTTGTGAATAAATAAATTTTGAAATAACTTTGTGTTGTATGAGGGGAGTACCAGTGGGAGGTACTGAATCCTCCCAGGATTTTTGGGTTGAGGCTTAAGAAGGGATTCATTCTCCTGATGTAATTGGAGATTACTCTATTGTAGATGAAATTTCAGGAGTCAGTTCTGGAGTTGCGTCACTTGCAAGTTAATTACTAAGTATTAAAATAGAGGCTAGGGTAGGGTGATGATGCAATGCATTATAAGGATTTTGAAAATATATTGGCCTGTGTTCTGCTCTTTTTATAAATGTGGTAGAGTGAAAATTATATATTATAATATATACACCATATGTAAAAGATGACTACCTCTTCTTAGTTTAATGATATTTTATAATTGAAGTACTTCATAATAACCTATGATGTAATTCATTTCTCAGTCTATTTGCTTTGAAAAATGCTTGTATAATAACATTTTTTGTTTTCATGAGGTTCTTATGTAATGACTGTCATTTTCCATTTTATTTTTTCTGAAAATGATTAATGATATGCTTTTATACTTTTGGATTTTAACCTCCATAGGGTACTTAAAAAGTGTACACCATTTAAATTGAAGAGTAAGATATAAATATTCTTAATAAAGTACTATATATTCCTGGGATGGTATTTCACAGTGTCTTTTGTGAATGACCTTTTAAAAGGGAGAAAAAAATAATTATCTTGGGATTTGTTTTGTTTTAGGCTGAGGATTCTAAATGGACAATAGTTTTCTTTTTGCCTATCAAAATACTGGTAATGATGGTACTCTCTGAAGGGATGTTTTGACACTTATTTTGAAACATAGATTAAATTGTGGGTACTATGTTAACCTTTTATATGTATGTGCAATAGTAGTCATGGACCACAGTTTTATTAGATTCATGTGGATTTTGTGATATACTTAAAATGCAATTGATATATTACTAAAAATAACTTGAGACATGGTTAGTTATAGTATAAATAGGAGTAAATTATGTACTTTAGTTTATAATTCAAATTTGTTTTTGTTTTGTTGTGCAACAGGGCTCTAATTCGGCCACTTCCAAGTCAACAAATGTTTGAACATATGCAGAAGAGACACCGTGTATTTTTTGTTTATATAGGTGGAGAATCACCTTTGAAAGTAAGACTTTTTTTAATTCCTCAAAAACAGATGTATTGTAATTTAATTTACTGTGTAATCAAGACTTCACTAGAAACTCAGAACTTATTCTGCTCTTACTAGAAATATTTTCATTCAGTCTAAGTATTTCTTTTTTTTTTTTTTTTTTTTTTTGAGACGGAGTCTCGCTCTGTCGCCCAGGCTGGAGTGCAGTGGCTGGATCTCAGCTCACTGCAAGCTCCGCTTCCCGGGTTTACGCCATTCTCCTGCCTCAGCCTCCCGAGTAGCTGGGACTACAGGCGCCCGCCACCTCGCCCGGCTAGTTTTTTGTATTTTTAGTAGAGACGGGGTTTCACCATGTTAGCCAGGATGGTCTCGATCTCCTGACCTTGTGATCCGCCCATCTCGGCCTCCCAAAGTGCTGGGATTACAGGCTTGAGCCACCGCGCCCGGCCAGTCTAAGTATTTCTTATAATAAAAACACTTCCTTGTATACCCTCTGTCATGTTTGTCTATATGAAATAGAAGTGTGTAAAAAGTGAGTAGATGTTGCCTGCCTTAGTATTTTTTTCTGTTATTATCCTGGTTAAGTCTTACGCTGCTTTTTCAAATTCTGAGTCTTTGAGGCTGCAGACTTTGTATGTGTATACACACATATCATCCTATAATCATCACCATCATTTTGTCTAATTTATAATTAAATGAATACCTACAAATTGAACTTATGTTATATTCAATGAACTTTATTTGAAGAAAGATAAAAGCTCTTAATTACGTTGGCTTTGCCTTAGAAACAATTTTATTTGCTTATATTTCTTCTGTTCACCTAAAAGGGTATGAGGTAGCAAATTACAGTGGTGACCCTTACTACATAAGGTAACTCTCATTGTTTAATGAGGAATGAATTTTGACCTTTAACATTTTTCAATGACTGTTTCTCTGTTTGTATCTTCACAGGAGAAATACATAGATGCTGCTTCAGAATTGATTGTATATACGTACTTCTTTTCTGCCTCAGAAGAAGTGGTTCCTGAGGTAATATTTAAAATTTGATTTTAATGACACAATTTTATTTATTAAATTATTACTTGATTTAATAGATAAAATTGATTTATCATTTCTTGATTATTGATTTTAATATCAGATTTATTTACTGTGATGTGTGTGGAAAGAGTAAACATGCTGATTCTTTACTACTGGTATTAGATTTCTTTTTATTAATAAACAAATACCATCAGATTCATAGCATTTAGGGATTTACATTAGTGCTTCTTTCTTTTTAAAATAAAAGTAGTGATGACAAGTGATACCTCAAACTCCTAAATTGGCTTACAAGTGGTGGATTATTTTTTGTGTGTGTGTGTGTGTGTGTGTGGCAAATACAGTGATTTTTGGGTTCTCAAACTGAGATAGTGGTCCTCAGTAAACTAGTCGATAAACAGGATATCATAAGTGCCATGAAAAAAAATTAAAGGCCAGGTGCAGTGCCTCATGCCTGTAATCCCAGCACTTTGGGAGGCCTAGACGGGTGGGTCAGCTGAGGTCAGGAGCTCGAGACCAGCCTGACCAACATGATAAAATCCTGTCTCTACTGAAAATACAAAAATTAGCCGGTCATGGTGGCATGTGTCTGTAGTCCTAGTTGCTTGGGAGGCTGAGGCAGGAGAATCACTTGAACCTGGGAGGTGGAGGTTGCAGTGAGACAAGATTAAACCACTATACTCCAGTCTGGGTGACAAAGTGAGACTCCATCTCAAAAAAATAATAATAATAATTAAGGCCGGGCCTGGTGGCTTAACGCTTGTAATCCCAGCACTTTGAGAGGCCGAGGTGGGCAGATCACAAGGTCAGGAGTACGAGACCAGCCTGGCCAACATGGTGAAGCCCCATCTGTACTAAAAATACAAAAATTAGCCAGGCGTGGTGGCGCAGGCCTATAATCCCAGCTACTGAGGAGTCTGAGGCAGGAGAATTGCTTGAACCCGTGAGGCAGAGGTTGCGTTGAACCGAGATCGCGCCGCTGCACTCCAGCCTGGTTGACAGAGTGAGACTCCATCTCAAATAGTAATAATAATAATAATAATAATAATAAATTTTAAAACAGTGTAGTAGTTGGGGCAAATAGGAGTGGGATGGGTGCTGTAGGTTGATTGGTCAAGAAATGTTTGTCTCAAGAACATACTTGAAATGAGACTTTTACATGATATGAAGGAGCCATGCAAAGATCTGTGGATACAATACTCCAGAAACAAGGAACAGATAACAGATGTCCAAGATGAGAACACACCTGACATGATACTCAACAAAACAGTAGGCCAATGTGACTGTAGTGCATACAGTGCGATGGGAAGTAGGTAGAGAGCAGTGTAGGCTTTGTAAGTCATGGCAGTGCATGTGATGAGGTTGAAGTTTGTGAAGAACATGGACCGATGTTCTTGTTTAAGGACATTACTCTGTGCTAAGTGCAGAGTGCATTAGATAGGTATAAGAGTAGCTCCACAGATACCAATTGAACTTTTGCAGTAATCTGAGAAATTTGGGCTTGATGGTTAGTGAGAGAGATGGGAAGAAGTGAAAGGATTGTTGTGTTTAGAAGATAGAATTGTCAGAGCTTGCTGATCTGGAAGAATAGGAATGAATCAAGAGTGACTCTTAGATGTTTTGGTTTGAACAATTGAGTAGATGGTGGTGTTTTATGAACTTGAGGAATATTGGAGAAGGAAGAGGTTGAAAATATGGAGAGTGAAAAGTGCTTTGAATTACTCATTTTAATTTGATTCAGAATGTCATATTAGGAATCTAAATATAAGCATCAAATAAGCAGTTGGACATAGGGGTCTAGAATTAAGTCAAGGCTGTGTAAAGAACCTTCCCAGACATGGGAAGCAATTTTTTAAGGAAATAAGTAGGCCCAGAACCTGAGGTCAGCAAAGGAAAATGAGAAAAAATAGTAAATTAGGAAAAAGAGATGAGTTGGAAGCCAAGATGAAGTGTTTTAAAAGGAGTTAACAGTTTGTGTGAGAATTTTGCAAAGTGATCAAGAAAATAATGAGAGGAAAATAACCACAGTATGTGCCCACACGGAGGTTGTTGGTGGTTTTCAGAGGAGTAGCGGGGACCAAAACCTTATTGGTGTTTGAGAGACATTGATGGCAAGTAAGGAAGTGGAGATCGCAAGTGTAGACTTCTCTTTAGGAAACTTTTAATGAGTAGAGGACCTTAGGAATTTGGCAGTAACTCAGGGGAAACATGAAAGAAGTCAAGGGAGTTTTTCTTTTCAATCAATATAAATTATACAAAAAATTGAAATATTTTTCTTTTCACAAAGGTAAGTCAGACATTTCATTTCTTTTAAATGTTTTAATGTTTAAATATTTTAAGATTACAGACTTGCCTAAGTAGGTGTTTAATGCTTCCTGCAATATATGTAGGTGTTTATCTTATGTACCCCACAGAGATTTTCAACTCCTGGAGGAACCTCAGTTTCTGGACAACCTAAACCCATTTTGATTTCCTAAGTATTTTATACTTATGTATTTACTTTTGAAGGGGAAGGTAATGTCACGGGATCCTTAGGTTGTTGCTTCACCACCAGAAACCTCTGTGGCCACCAGTGCCTCTGCTTGGGTTTTGCTTGCACCCACTGGGCTTATTCCGCCCACTCATCCTGGCAGGCTGCACTTGGCTCATGCTACAGGCCCAGATCCCGTGCCTGCCAAGGATGAGCCAGGCATGGAGCAGCAAGGGGTGTGTGAGTGAGCAAGTGTGGGATCTGGCCACTGCGCACAGCCAAGCGTGCTGGCTGCCATAGGGAAGGCAGCTCCAGGCATCTGCTCCATGTGAGGCTGTGGCTGGACTAGATGTGCTGCAAGTGGCTTCCACTGCTGCAAGAACCAGCATCTGGACAAGGGGAATGCAGTGGCACCTGAAAGCTCAGAAAACACCATGAACTGCAGAGCCCTGAAGAGGGTGTTAACAGTGTGTCGCAGCCCTGACTTGGGGATCCCCAAGGTCTGGGCTCCCAGGAGGGTCACAGCTCTTCTCTCCTTGTCACCAGCAACATGGTGACTGGGGGGCATGTTTCAGTCCTGTTTGCATTACAGCTCCTTCAGTCCCTCCACTGAGTGGTTCCCAAGTTCTTGTCCCACATCCAGGAAGAATGAGGCACATGGACAACTGGAGGATGAGCACGGTGGAGAGGAGCTTCATTGAGCAACAGAATAGCTCTCAGGAGACCCGAGTAGGTAGCTCCTTTCCACAGGCAGGTCATCCAGACAAGTCTGTGTCTGGCTTAGTCTGGGGTTTTTATGTGCTCAGAATTGAGGAGGTGCATGCTGAGTGGTCCATGGGTGGCCACGGTCAGGCCTGGAAAAGGCGCTATCCAGTTGGCTGTATGGTCATCAATGAAGTTCTTACTCCAGACCGTGGACTTCACCCAGAACTGGTAGCCTGGCCCCCAGGCTTCAGGCCCTCCTTGGCCGGAAATTGGGATTTTACTGGGGACCCACCCCTTCCTGCTTAGGAACCTGTCTGACTCCCGCCATCATGATTATACCGTCTGTGGCACCCAGGCTGTTCATGCCGAGGAGTGCCTGCAGGTTGCGCTGAGCCAGCCTCCCTCCCACGCTTGTCGATGTCCAAAGTCTGGAGGAAGCCCAGGCACTGGTGAGAGCTGGCATGTCAGTGCCGCCCCGAGCACACATACCCGGCTAAGTTGCGACAACACTTGGGCTCGGCCACAACTTTGCTCCAAAATCAGAGTAGGCACTGGGAGCAGGGAGAGGCCAGGGAGCAGGAGCAGGCATTTTTGAACCTGCAGGAGTTGGGGGGTGGGGTGGCTGCTTTCTGGGTCCCAGAGAGCTCAGGGATGCCAGGGTCCAGAACCACTGCTGAGCAGCTTCAGCTACACCTGGGAGTGTGGGGCTCCCACCCCACAAATTTGGTAGCGGGTAGGACTCTCCCGCCTGTTCCTGGCCCCCACTGGCTCCACGGACGGGCTGCCACTGCCTTGAGTAAGATGAGAAAAAGAGGCCACACTTGCCATCAGAATCTCCGACAGGGTTCCCAGAAGTTTACAAACCACTGTTCTGGAATGCCCTGATGTAATATAAAGGCTTAAAATGGACTAGAATCTGAACTGCTTACACATTTTTGTCTCCCAAGTCCAGTGAACCACATTTTTGTATGAGAGATGAGAATTTATGCTAGGTCCTCATCTACAAAGCTTTGCAAGCAGTTGGTACTTGGAGTGCACCAGAGGGTTTGCTGTGTTCTAGGCCCTGGCACCATTTGACACCATCTTAATCCTCATGTAACAATGAGGTGTTTTAGGCCAAAATCCCTAGAACCCAGAGAGCCTGGGTAGGCATATATATAGCATCTGTTATGTAAGCATATTTAGTATTTGTGCATTACTTCTATTATTTATTTATTTATTTATTTATTTATTTTTTGAGACGGAGTCTCACGCTGTTGCCCAGGCTGGAGTGCAGTGGCGCGATCTCGGCTCACTGCAAGCTCCGCCTCCCGGGTTCCCGCCATTCTCCTGCCTCAGCCTCCTGAGTAGCTGGGACTACAGGCGCCCGCCACCGCGCCCGGCTAATTTTTTGTATTTTTAGTAGAGACGGGGTTTCACTGTGGTCTCGATCTCCTGACCTTGTGATCCGCCCGCCTCGGCCTCCCAAAGTGCTGGGATTACAGGCTTGAGCCACCGCGCCCGGCACTTCTATTATTTTTTTAATCGGCCTTCTCAACTAGTTTGTTTAGTCATTCTTTATTCCTGAAGATGTTAATATTCGTCATCTCCCTTTTTTAGTTTTAAGGATGTATTTGGAAAAGTCTGCTAGGGGAAATAATAGTTAACTTCAGAGAAATATGAGTTTTACTCCCATAGATGATTCTCAAATAAGGGCAAAGCCCATAATTTTCTGTTCTTTCCATGCTTTGAATATTAATGTTTTGTCCTTCCGAGCTTCATTAGCTTTGCAACTGGTATTTATGAAAACCCTAGGAGATGCAGTAAGGGGGTACAAAGATGAATTTAGACAGTTTCTGACTTCAGAATACTTACAGATGAACGAAGGAGATTGGCATGCAGACTATAACAGTAATAGAAGATAGTTGAAGAAAACACGGGAGAGGAAGAGAGCTTCAGAGTGTGTGAGACTAGATGGCTGCAGGATTTGAGACTGTATCATTTGTGTTCTAGTAAGAACCATTCAGGGATGTTGATGAAAGAGGGAGGTGCTGAATGTTGAAAAATACTTCCTAAGCATCTGTGTGGATGAGTTGCCAAGAGCAGGTGAATGGAGCATGCTTGACTTAAGAGCTCTTGCAGTGCCCTTAAAATTGTTATTTTCATAGTGCTATACCATTTTTTAATAGTAATGTAACCAAATCATTCTGTATTATTTTCTGTCCCCCGAGATGTGTCTCCCTCCCTTTTTAATATTTCCAGGACAACTGTCTTTATTTTTATTTTATTGTTATTTTTCTACATTATTTGTCTTCTGATCTGATATTTGTTTTCTAGTATAATTTTACTCTCGAAATAAGTACAACTCAGGTGTAAGCAGCTGGTACTTTCTGAATGAATCCCTTATTACTACTGTAAGTGGCTTATAAAGCAGTTTACACTTTAAGCAGTGCTCTCAGTTATGGTATCTGACATAACTCTCACAATTGTTCTGTGAGGTAGGCAGTCTCAGTGTCTCTATTCCACAGATGAGGAAGCAGACTCCCCTGGGTAAAGTGGCTCATTATCCCACAGCCAGTGAGTGGTGGGGAAGGACTTAAACCTAAACAGGCTGGTTGATGTTTAAGTCTGTTATCAGTTAAGAATAATCCACAGTCTTTACTATAGCAAACAGGACATTGTACCAGGGGATATATAAAAAGATTCATATATACTCCTTGGATGAGTTTGGGATTGACTGTACTCTTTAATTGTTTGTGACATTCTTTTTTGTTATTTTTATGTGTGTTTGTGTTTTCTGGTATCTCAAGACTTTTGAAATTATAGTTACTAATTAGAATTTTTTAGTGATAAAAGTTATTTAAACTTCTGATTTTTTGCAGTATGTGACACTAAAAGAGATGCCGGCTGTGCTTGTTTTCAAAGACGAAACTTACTTTGTTTATGACGGTAAGTTCCAAGTCTTTAACTCATGTAAAACATTTTAAAATTAAAATGTCTATTATACGACTTAGGTGGAAAGATTTTGTAAATGCTTCTACTGTTTAATGAGAATAACAGTTCTCATTACTTGAATGACTGATGTTTTGGGGTTTTTCACCCTTCAACTTTTAGTTGTTATTTTTATTCTGAGCTTTACCTACACAACATTTCTTTTTGTTGTTTGTTAAATTGTATGTGTTTTTGAGGAATAAATTCTATGTGATTTTTATACATTACTTTAAAATGTTCAGAATTAGTTTTTTTGAAGTAACATTTCAGATACAGAAAAGGCTTGAAGAAGTAACACGTGTTCAATAGTGTTGAAGCCCCTGTGTATCCCTCCGTAGTGGCATTTCCCCTTCGCTGTTAGAAATAACCGCTTACCCGCTATTCAGCATTTCTTCACTGAAGCAAATACTTGGTCTGCTTTTAAAATATTTTAATTGTAATATCAAACATACATCATAGTAGAGAACGGTAAAGCCCTGCATACCCATCACCGAAGTTAAACACTTACCAAGATCTTTGCCCATCATGACATTTGCTCTAACTTTAACTTTGAATTTGTTGAAGTACTTTAAAGCAAATTGTAGTGGCATTTCATCAGGGCTTTATATTACGCATCTCTTTACATAATGCAGACTTTTTATTTGCAGATAAACCACATGCAGCTACAACAACTAACATCATTCCTTGGTATTTTGAAATGCCTACTTTCATGTTTTCCAAACTGTGCTGAGATACCCCAGGGCAGTGCAGCAAACTCACAGGGGCTACAGGGGATATTTTAAATTTCAAGGGAAACGGTGAAACTCGACATCTGTAGGACACCACAAAGCCACTCAAAAGCAAAAGTGAGTGGAGTGCAGTCTTAGCTGATAGCGTTCTTGCTAGCGTTCTAAATTCTAATTCAATAACATTTAAAATCCAATTTCTTGTTCTCACTAACCGCATTTCAGTGCTCCGTGGCCTCCTGTGGCTTGTGGTTACCATGTTTGAGGCCAGATAGGGAACACCCATTCATTCAGAAATACTCTAGAATGTAGACTGGATGATGATGAGGTTTAGGGTACAAATGATCCCATCACCCAGGTAATGACCATAGTACCCAATAGGTAGTTTTTTAGCCCTTGTCCTCCTCCCCGTCTCCCAAGTATCTGTTGTTCCCATCTTTATGTCCACATGGTACCCAGTGTTTACCGCCTACTTCTAAATGAGAACATGCAGTATTTGAGATGGTTTATTTTCAAATGAAATTCAAATTGATCACTGTATGCAATCTTATAGAAAATTTGCTTTTAGCATGGAGTGGACATTGTGGCCCAGTAATCAATTTCTAGTTTTATGTTTATTTTCCTAATTTGTAAATTCGAATCCATAAATACTTTTAAGATTTGCATTGTGTCACTTATTTTATGGGTTTGATAACTTGAAAATGTTTTGTTTAGCATTGCAAGAAAAAGCATACCTTTCCAGAAGTCATTAAAATCCTATCTTCAACCAGATGTGTTGGTAGGCTTTTATAGACATTTGCTTTACATCACCTTTTTTATGCAATTGTAATAATTTTGAACAATTACTTCAGAATTATATTTCTAATCAGGATGTAATATTTCTCTTAGATATTATATTTTCTACCTGCTTAGCAGAGGAATTATTTTATATTGGAAAAAAGCTAAGGTACTATAATTTTATATGTGTGTTAGTTGTACCTTTGAGAAAGAGCTGTAAACTAGGAAGACTGTCATAAAGAGAGAATAGCAAAGAAATTGTAATAAAAATTACCTATAGTGCCATGACCCGAGTATAACCATTGATCCAGGGTAACCATTTAGGAATAACTGACTTCATTTTACCATTCTATGAATTTATCTTTTCGTACTTTTTTTTTTTACAAAATTACAGTTACACTGTTATATATTGTATAATAACCTATATTGTTTTGTAATCTGTTCAGTTATACGTTTTTTTGAAAATTTATAAATGATCTTTCTTGACATATACCAAAATTTATTTAAATTATTTCCAATTTAGGATATTTTGATTATTTCCTTTATTTTGAATTATTTTTATGCTATTTTTAATGATGCTATAAATGAAGATTGCTTTGTGCATTAATCCTTCTGTACATTTGATCGTACTCTTGCAATAAATTCCTAAAAATCATATTTATGGATGAATGATTCTCTGTCAGGCATTTTATACCTGTTACCAGATTAAAGCTATTATAACTATCTTAAACTCATATTTATACTATAATTTGTTAACCTTTGTCTTGGTTTTAAGAGTATGAAGATGGTGATCTGTCATCATGGATCAACAGGGAAAGGTTTCAGAATTACCTTGCTATGGATGGCTTCCTCTTATATGAACTTGGAGACACAGGTAACAAGCATATGTACAAGTCTCCATCACATTACATGATTTTTCTGTGATTGATTATTTAAAATCTTATTTTGTAGGAAATGAATTTAAGCTCTATTTCCTAACTTATTTTTTTATTTTAGATCTGAATGCCAGTTCTTTATGAGAACATAAACTGATATTACCAGAAGATATACCTTTGCATGTGGGTCAGTGATTAAAGCGATGGTTTACTAATAGAACTGATGGTGGCAAGGAAAACAAAAAGCCTGGGTAATAAGAGAGTGAGAAAAATAACCAACTAAGAAGCTATACACCGGAGACTGATTTTGTGATAGGAGTTAAGATAAAACTTAGCACAACCTATTTATAAGGCCTGTTCTTACCTGTGAAAGGGAAAAATGTAAATTACATTTGGCATGGTTTCTTAAAGTTACACTGTTGCAAATGTCAGGCAATGCAAATATAAACACAAATACAAAAATGAAAGCTATAAGAAAGCCGATTATATGGTCTCAGATGCAAACTATAAAAATTATAAGAAGCTAACTATAAGTTTTAGGAGAAAGTGTTTTATAAATTTATAGCAAAATAGAAATGAGAAATCTTGGTTATTGGTGCCACATTTGTTTCCATTAGTAACTTTATGATAAATAGCCTGGAAGTATAGTTTTTGAGTAAAACAATGAGAAAATTTTATTCAAGACTCAATTTTTTAAAATATAATAGGCGTAGAGTTTCTTCTTTATGATAGCCTGCTCTTAAATCTAATTAATGAAAATTAGAGACATTCTTACACGTTCTCCTGTTTTTAACATTTTGGGGGATATTTCTGTTTTGTTCCTGAGCTTGCTTTTAATGTTCTGTGTCTAGTGATATTTCTGTCTTTGCTTATCTTTACAGAAGGAGCTGTGTATTAGCTCATTATTGGAAGTTGCTGGGGACAGTGTCAAAGACTGTGGTTTTACTTTCTGATTCTGGTTTTTTGTTGTTGTTTTTTTTTTTTTTTGAGAAGGAGTCTTTCTCTGTCGCCAGACTGGAATGCAGTGATGTGATCTCGGCTCACTGCAACCTCCACCTCCCTGGTTCAAGTGATTCTCCTGCCTCAGCCTCCCGAGTAGCTGGGACTCGGTGCGTGCCACCACGTCCAGCTAATTTTTGTATTTTTAGGAGAGACGGGGTTTCACCATGTTGGCCAGGATGGTCTCGATCTCCTGACCTCATGATCCTCGCACTTTGGCCTCCCAAAGTGCTGGGATTACAGGCGTGAGCCACCGTTCCTGGCCTTTTTAATTATTTCGGACTCACATGAAAGGAAAAGGGAGAAATGTAGGAATATAGTAGTTTTGCTTGTATAGTAATTATAGGAGATAGCATGACCTTGAGGTGATTCAAACAAGTGGCTTTGGCTCAACTGAACACATCTTTTCCCAGATGAATTTGGAGACAGAAGTGTGCTGTGGCAGTGTTCTTTTGTGTGTCTGACATAATTGCCCTTGTTAGGCATCAGCTGTGGTCGTGCTCCTGCTCTTCACCCGACCTGTCCTCTTATGTTAGCACCACAGCAGCCTCCCGACGCTCTGTGGCTTCAGACACCTCGTGTCTTTCTCAGAAGTTCTAACTCTTGCCTACATCTCCAGCCTCATTTCACTCTAGCCTCTCCCCACACTCTTCCTTCTTGAGGCACACTAACCTTTTAGTTTATTTTATTATTATTACTATTATTTTATCATTTTTACCCAAGTTTGCTTGATAACAGTTTCTTGAAAAGGCTATGCCACTTGCACCAAAGCACCTTTTTACATGCTTTTTTCTTTGTTTGGAAATATGCAGTTAATTCATATTCATCCATCAAACTCAGACCAAATACTGCTTCCTTAGGAAAATCTTTACTGACCCCGTCAAACTACATTAATTTACGCTATAATTTTTTTTATAGCAGCATATTCTTATTTTTAACAGGACATTTATTTGATGAAAATGTCTACCAGTTCTACCGTATTGTGTTTTCACAAGCGCAGAGCATTGTCTGTGTTTGCTCATCACCATGTCCTCGTAACCAGCCCAGTGTGTGGTACATTATTTAACACTCAATAATTGTTGAATGAGTATGTGAGAAACTGTGGCTGTGTTTCTTAGAATCCTGTTGGTCTGTGGGAGAATTCTCTGCATGTTGTAGACATTTTGAAAAAAAAAAACTCAGAGGCATTTGAAAATTAAAGAAGCCTATAATACAAAAAAATGAATAGTAGATGAGATATTTCAAGAAGGTAGATACCATTGTGAACTGTTTTCATCAGAGAGTTAAAAGAAGATTAAAGATTGTGTAGAATTTAAACAGGTGTGGAAGCAGTATGGAATTAGAAGCAGCATTAAAATACAGGGATAATACTAAAAGATTATTGATTTAATCCTACTTGTATGTACCTGCTCTGAACCAGGTTTATGTCCGTATTTCTGTGCGTCTAATCTTACTTAACTCTCCCGATACCTCTATGAAATATGTATTAGTTTTTGAAAATAGGTTGAAGTTTACTGAGGCACTTCCCTGTTCCCCTGCGCCTTGGTATGGTGCCTGGAACATGATGGACACTGCTAGATAGCAGTGTGTGGTTTTCTGATTCTAACACCACTCTTCTGGTTATTACATCATGCCAGCTTCCTAGAGGATATCAGGATACATATGCTTTATGTTGTATTTAGGGTTAAGTAAATGTGAGTCAGTTTAATTCTGCATATTGTAACTGGCAAGTACTGAATCATGGTACCAAAGTCAATGGCCATGTAAAAATCATTTTCTTATTCTTCTAGACCATTGTTTTAGAGCTACAATAATTCTTAGCAAACTTGTTTTTAATCAACTTACTTCCTATGCTTTTAGCCTTTGAAAAAGTTATCTTAGTCAATTTGTAGGGTGCAAGGAAAAAATACAATTCAAGCTTGTAAGTTGGTATAAAAAGTACAATTTTAGTGTATAAATTATTACATATTTACTCGTATTTACATTTTGGGGTGGGAAGTGGAAGGGAATTTGTCACCTGGGTTGACTAATTCACTGATTCACTCTACAAACATATACCATAATTTGTTGATTTAATTTGATATAACGTGTAGGGTGATTGGAATTAAATTCTAGAAATACTTTACAATTTCCTACTCAGAACTAAAGTGTTGATTGAACAGTTTGTGTAATAAGGGTGATTGAATTCAAATGTGTCATTCTTTATTTCAGGAAAGCTTGTGGCTCTTGCAGTTATTGATGAGAAAAATACATCAGTTGAACATGCCAGGTATAATGCCTCGATATGGTTTTAAGCTTCAGATGGTCATTTCAGACTACATGGCTTTAGATAGACTTGATGTGGTATCTTACTTTTCCTGCAGCAATTAGATGTAAGAGAACAGATACTGTCATTGGAAAATTCTATTTTTCAAGTGCAGATGACCAGTTCCTATGTTTGTTCTTCTACAGATTGAAGTCAATTATTCAGGAAGTTGCAAGAGATTACAGAGACCTCTTCCATAGGTAGGTGCTTATATTCTGAGAGATTCCTTTATGTTTTTTTTAATACAGTTTTGTAATTTAATAAAGCAAACTTACTAGTATTCATGCTTTTAGAGGTGAATCAAGGAAGGGAAGTATAGCAGTAGTTCTCACTTATCCACAGGAGATGCATTCAAGACCCCCAGTGGATGACTGAAACTTTGCATAGAATGGAATACTACGTATACTATAATTTTGTCTGTACCTACATACCTGTGATAAAGTTTAATTTATCCATTAGGCACAGTAAGAGATCAACAGTAATAATAAAATAGAACAATTATAACAATACACTATAATAAAATTATGTATATGTTTATTTCTGGAATTTTTCATTTAATATTTTCAGACCATGGTTGACCATAGGGAACTGAAATCACAGAAAGTGAAACTGGATAAGGGGGGACTACTGTATAGCACATTGCATTTTAGCATGAATTGTCTGGATCTTGAAATTCACTGATGGTATGTCCTGCAAGTTAAAAAAAAGAAACAGTTTGATCTATAATTTGTATCATACCTGGCTTCTTGATACGATTTGAGATGCATTTTATGTAAATAAAATATGCAAATGTAGTTATAATTGGAGATAAATGAGCAATCAGAAGTCAGAGATAGGCAGACGATTATTCTAACAGAAACTCAAAAGAATCACTGAATAAAAATGGCATCAGAAATACATGTATTTTTACTATGCTGAATCATTGTTGCTACCATAAAAAAAGACAGTCAATATAAATGTATTTTATTATTGAATTATTATTTCTTTCCTATTCTGAGTCTTCTAATAATGGGTCATTGTATAGTTTTCTTACATAGTATGTAGCGTCTTTTGATTAGTCCTTTTTTTTTTAGGGAAAATGGGTAATTTTTCTTAAACATATTTCAGATAGATTAGCTTATATTTCCCTGAATTTTAAATATGCATAAACCAAGTAGAAATGTCTTAGAATTTCCTTTACTTGTGTATTTGTATCTCAGAAGCCAGTAAAATTTACACTCTTAGCAGTATTTATTGTATATGATTTACATGTGAGATGTTTACAGTTTCTGGGCTTACTGAGGCCTAATGTTAAGTTCATTGTTTTTTTTTTTACTTTTTTGATATTTAATGAGCTTTCTCTCCCCACCCCCTTGCCTTTTATTTATTTATTTTTGGCTGTCGTTTGTTAGGGATTTTCAATTTGGCCATATGGATGGAAATGACTACATAAATACCTTGCTGATGGAGTAAGTAAAGTGCTGAATGATTTTGCTATCAAATCTTAATATTATTAAATTTGTTTCTGAGATACAGGTAGAAGGATTAAATAGCTGAAAAAAAGCAAACAGTTGACATATTCAGATACAGATATTTTCCCATTAAATATTTTACTTTAGTTTTCAAATTCTGTATTTGAAACTTACTGACTTTAATATTGGTCTATAGTAAAAAGAAAAAAAAATTATCTCCTGATTTAATGTTTTCTCATATTCTGAAAAGAAGCCATTTTTCCAAAACTTGTAAATTTCATAGCTTCTGCTTAATACATACCTTGAGAAGTTCAGTTTTAATGGGCAATATAACTATTAAATAGAAAATGTTTAGCATTCAAAAACTAATTGTTGTAGAATTTAATAGACAAATAACTTTGTAAGAAAATGTGCAATTTTAAAATTTTTATCTCTTTAAAATTATGTAGACTATTAAATAGAAAATGTTTAGCATTCAAAAACTGTTCTAGAATTTATTTTAGTAGACTAAATTTGTAGGAAAATGTGCAGTTTTTAAATAATTTTTATCTAAAATTATGATTTAAAGATTTAATTTGCCACTTCACAAGACTGATATTAGAAAACATTTACCAAACCCTGTACTGAATTAATAAATTTGAAACAAGAACCCACTCTATTCAGTGAACATTTAGTGAGTATTTACTGTATGTTGTACACTGTTAAACACTGTTGATGGAAAAATGAATAGAGTTCCTGTCTTCAAATGCTTATAGTCCACTGGATAAGACCACAAATGTTAATTACAGAACTGTATGAAAAGATCTATGTAGGACAGGGCTCTGGAACATAGAGACACTTTCCCGCCCTCCACCCCCGCCACACACACACACACACACACACACACACCCAGTACACACTAAGGTGGAAAGGCTCAAGAAATGTTTTCTGGAAGAGGCAATAATTAAGAAACGTCTAAAGAGTGAGAAGTTAGGCAGAACATAATAGCAAGTATGACAGGGCTTAGGAGAGGGCTAGAGAAATAAGCTAGCCTCTAAATGAAGATGGGGAAATCTCACTAGAGACACACTAACTCTTAGCCGCATTGAGGGCCCAGTGGAAGTTCAACAACACGATGCTGTGTTGGTTTTCTCTCACTTTGCTTAGTATCATAGATCTAGCAAATGCCTTCATTCGTTATTGTAATATATTAGATTATTTTGGTGTTTTCTATTTTCTAAGTAAGAACACTGAGCGAGGAAGGGGGTGAACTTACAAATCCAAGGTAACATTCATCATTTTCAGCTAAAATCTTGAAATATAATTAGTATCACCTTACTTCATTTATTATCCCTCTCATTTCAGTAAGAACTTAAGAGGATTTGCCAAAGGTTAAAGTACCAGATGTGGGATATAAGGAAGAATCAAGACAAAGAAAAAGTATCTATACAATTATTAAAGGGACTGTTGACCCTTGAACAACATGAGTTTGAATTGTGCAGATCCACCCATAGGAATTTTTTTTCAATACATATATTGTAAAAATTTTTTGAGATTTTTGATAATTTGAAAAGACTTAAAGATGAATTGCATATCCTAGAAATACCAAAAAAAATTAAGAAAAAGTTATGTCATGAATGCATAAAGTAAATACTAGGTCTGTTTGATCATTTTCTACCATAAAATAAGCACAAATTTATTAAATATCTTCTGTAATTATAGCTACTGAGATATAAATGAATATCAGAATACTTTGCTGTGTTTAATGTATATTTTGATTTGTTTTTATATTTTCAGTGAATTGACAGTCCCAACTGTAGTTGTACTGAATACTTCAAACCAACAATATTTCTTGCTGGATAGACAGATTAAGAATGTTGAAGACATGGTCCAGTTTATAAATAACATTTTGGATGGCACAGTAGAAGTAAGTTTTTCACTTCTGTTTCAAAGGGATGATGGACTGGGGTAGAGGAGAAACTAGTTCATTTCTTTACTTCTGATTCTGAAAAGAATAGTTGGCCATCACCCAGAGTAGAGGGCTGGACCTCCATACATTGCTTCTGTCCAATTATAGGCAGAATAGAGTTACATTCTCCCAGATACAGAAGGTTCTTCTATGGCAGAGGTTGCTAAAAGATGGAAATGTCCTTTTAGGGGTTATTTGGAGGGTATTTTTGGTTGTCATGGTGATGGGGAGGTGCTGTTGGCATTTAAGGTTGAGGGCTAGGGATGCTAGGAGGTCTGCATTGTGTGGGGTAATCTTAATAGTGAACTTGCCTGTCTCTTAGTATGTTTCTAGGTCCAAAAGTACAGTTGGATTAAGTTGTTAGGACTGGTTTTCTAAGAAAATCTGCAAATAAGACCACAATTTCTCAAGAAATGAGGAAATTTATTGAGAATAAAAGCTCCCATGCAGAGTTCTAGACTTAATCCTATAAAATATTTCTCAGAAATAAGTGAATGGATAGTCTTAATTTTATATTTTTTTCCTATAAACTTTAACTGCAGTGTTTTTCAGACTGTGAATTGCAACCTGTATTAGAAAGTCATGAAACCACTGCAAGTCACAACCAGGTTGTGACCAGCATGCATCTTAATTCAATAGACTAGAATAAAATTTAAAAGAAAGAGCCTTCATTTTTTTTTGTGAAATTTAATTATTATGTTTTGAGAGTTGTTTCAGTTTTACACAAACTTTATATAAAATTTGCTCACAGAATAACATAACTACTTTCGGTCAAGGTGAAGAAGTTTGAAAAACACTCTTAATCAAACAGAATATTTTTGAAAATAATTAGTTGAAATGAAACTCACCTATATAATCAGGCTTTTATTTTTAAGTTAGTGGAATGCAACTCAGACTGTTTAACAACAGATTTTATTGTCTCATAGAGCTTGGAAATTTGAAAAATGAGCCAGGTTGCAGGTATGGCCGAATACAGGATTTGATTGATTTTCATCAGGAATTTTTCTCTCTCTTCCTTTCAGCACTTTCATCCTCAGGGAGCCTCTCCCTGCACAGTAGCAAAGGTATCCTGCAGCTCTGGTTTTGCAGTCCCAGCTAAACTCAAAAGCTGGTTAGGCTGTACTCAGGGGTGGGTGAGCTTCAGCCAAGCTACGTGGGTTACGAATAGAGGAGGAGGAATGTTTTAGAGTAGAATCAGGGTGAGTTAACACAAGCAGGCAAGAGGAATGCTGGACATGAAACAGACAAAAAACATCAACATTAAATGTTTACCACATGGCCTTTTCAGGTGATTATGTAATATTTTGGAGTCAACCATTTGGCCTGCGATTACAAGGTTATGTAACACCAAATAAATGAAGTAATAGTACTTAAGTAATTTATTTTTCTTTTCCTTTGTTTGAAGGCCCAAGGAGGTGATAGCATTTTGCAGAGATTGAAAAGAATAGTATTTGATGCCAAATCTACTATTGTGGTAAGTTGTGACAGTTTATGTCATTGATAATGAAGAAGATATAGGTTCTTTATGTCTAGCTGTGTTAATGTTAAAAATCTGAATTTGAAAAGATTAGGTCAAAATATGTCTTTTTAATTTGCAGGATATGACTAGTCAGTGTTTAAGAAAATATATTCATTAGGTGGAAATTGTTTCTAATTATATGATTGATGAGTTAAAACTAAAATTCAGAATCAATTAACTTGATAATATAACTTAAAAGATTTTATTTCTGCAACCTACCATGTAAACTTTACTTAGTAATTTCCATGATTTGTTGAAAGTGTGGATAATAGGAAATTTTTAGTTCCATTACGTGCTGTCTTCTGTAAATTGGTCATTTTTCTTGAAGAAAACGATGTGTGCTGGGAAGTCACTTTTTATTTTGCAGGAGTCAAAATAAAATTTTAGATCTTAAAGTTTTAAACATCCCTGTTAATTCTGTACTTTTCCCTAGTTGGTAAATAATTAAGATTATTTACAGATGTTTTTCCTTCTTCCCTTTTTCTCTCCTTCCTTTTTTTTTTTTTTTTATTCTTTTTATAGAAGACTTTAAATGTGGAATTAAAATGTGATGGATCAAATCCTTTCTAACAGTGTTTACTTTCATTTGTTTGTCCCAGTGTTTATTCACAGTTGTTATATGTAAGTAGAATATCAACACTGGTAGATGAATTGACATGTCTGCCCCTAATTACCTGTCTCTCTTACTTTCTAAATATATTTCCTTGACTTTCTTCACTGTCACCTCGCACCTGATTATTTCTGCCGTTCTAATTTCCTCTTCCTTTCACTCTATCAAACTAATTAGATCAGTTGATGTATTTCCCCTGGATTTCTTTGAAGCATCCCTTCCTTAATATTCTCCTTTCCGTGCTGCTGTGAGTATCACTACTCCCCTGCTCCTGCCCCATCTCTCCAGTCAGTGTTTCTCAGCATCCCTTTCCTCTCTTTCCTCTTTGCAGTCCTTGAATCTGAACCTTCTTGCTTGAAACTCTTAAGAAATTCTTCTTCCTCTCCCAGCTTTAACTGTCAATCAACTTGACAGTGGAGGAATTCCTAAATATGTTTGAGCCCTAAACTTAGTTCCTGTTGTCCTTCTTGAGCTATTACATGGGCATTTTCATTCATTGTGGCCCAAAGCAATCATGAAAATATAGCTAACATTTATTATTTAGAAGTAAATTCTGGGAGTCTTTGGGTTTTTTTCCTTGCATAGTATCCTTCAGTTTGTTGTGTTTTCCTGTTGCCACAAGCATGGATTGAGCCCTAATCACATTCTGTCTCGCTGCTGCTCTCTTTCACCTGGTTTCCATACTTCCACTTGCCCAGTCTCCAATCTATATTGTATTCCACTACACAATTAATATTACTAAAATAACCGATTTTGATCACTTTCCTTCCCTTTTCCAGGGATATACATCAGAATACTCTGTCCATCTAAAGTATTTTCCTCATTGGTTTTTGAATATTAGCTTTTGCTGATGCAAATTGCCTGGTGCTCACCTGTCCCGTATCCTGCCTCCTTCTCACTCATCCTTAAATTCCTGCCTAAAACACATCTTTATTCTGTGAAACTTTCTTCTCTTACCTCAATCCAAAGTGATCTTTTTCTTCTCTGAACTTGTCTATATTCTCAAGTTATCGTTGCAATTCATGCAGTATATTCTAGTTGAAAATCCTATTCATTAAAATTACTCTTACTTTTCTGGGAGCTATGAACACAGTATGTAAATTGAGGGAAATTAGTCAATGAAGCTTTACTGCTAACCAGATAAGTGAAAAATATTAAAAATGTCATGTGAAGAGAATATGTGTGTACCCTCTTTGTGGTAAATAACCCAGCCTTCTCCATAAGCAGATTCCTGTAGTTCAGGAAACAACTCTAAAGCTGCTGGTTGCACATAGTAAGCATCTTAAAGAGACCTTTGTGGTTGGTGTGAGAAAAATCAGTGTCTTTAGGAAAGGCTATAGAATATTTGATGCCTTTTTCTCCTGCTGATAGCTGGTTCTACACACACATGCGTATGTATGTGCATATAGAAATTATATCTCTTAACAGTGTCTTTAACATGGTAGTTACTGCTGAAGTTATTGACTTTGATTCATTGGAACTAAAAACAAGTTGACAAGCAACAAGAGAAATCTATAGTGGTTTCAAGTTCATGTCATGCTTTATATATCAGAATTACATATGAAGGGAACTGAGTTTTAATTCTCTTTCCACAGTCTATATTCAAGAGCTCACCACTGATGGGCTGCTTTCTCTTTGGCCTGCCACTGGGTGTCATCAGTATCATGTGCTATGGAATCTACACAGCCGACACAGATGGAGGTTATATAGAAGAACGATATGAAGTGTCTAAAAGTGAAAATGAAAACCAAGAACAGATAGGAGAGAGCAAAGAACAGCAGGAGCCAAGCAGCGGAGAATCTGTGGTGCCTACAGTGCAGGAGCCCAAGGATGTATTAGAAAAGAAGAAAGATTGAGACTTGATTACTATAAAATATTTGATAGGACTTCAAATTATTAAAGAGTCTATTTATTGAATTTAGACATTTAATCATGATCTTTACAGAAAAGAACATGTTATTTGTATTTTGCTAATATCAACTGCATGGATTAAAGTAGTCCCTCCATACATGGGGAAGTGTTTGGAGCAAAGAGATGAACAGTTTGTCTGAAACAAACACAGAGCACTCCATCAAAATTTACCTGATATTTGTGATTAGAACACATCAGTTCTATTTGCATGTTTCTCTATCTGAATATTCTGTGACAAAAAGTTAAGATTCTTGGGCAGAATATTTAAATTGGTGAGTCAGGTAGAAGATACATGTGTGATATAGAAAAGTAATGCCTCCCCTGCTGCCATTCATTTGCCTCATATATTTTGGATAATATTTATATGGACAAAAGTAAGTCCTTAAAATTTAGGCACTTTAAGGAGAACTAATAACTTTTTCCATGTATCAAATTAAGATTGAGGTTAAAAATAATGTGGTTTTATATAGCATAGTGATTTTATTTTGTTAGTTATTTTTAAAGGAGAAGAAATGTTACTTTTTAACTTTATACTCAGTTGCATTATCATAAAATTTTCATATGGACCTAGATAATGGGGAAAAAAGTCTTGTGATTGACTTTCGCAAAATGAACAGGGTTTACTGAGAGTAGAGGTTTCAACCCATTCCTTGGATTACTCTTAACGGGTATTTCATCTGTCATTGTAGGTTGGGAAGGGTCTCTGTTAATCCTACCCTGCTTTAGCCAGAACAGCCTAGTATTTTATTTCTATTTTATATATTGAGATTTCTTCTAACATTTCCTTTGATAAAAATCTTCTGCTTTTTGAAAAGTAGTATGTATCATATTTTTATGTTTACAGTGTGTTAACTTTATGGTAACTTATACTCCAGAATACGTATGTTTGTACCCACAAACACGTAAAGTTTATTGACACATCTATTATGTAATGCTGTAGACCTGTCCATGTCTGTTTCATAATGAATAATGAGTGACATCAGCATGTCCAGTGACAAGTCACATCCAGTGGGAAAAAAGTGATCAGCCGGTTACCTTCTCCATTTCCTTAGTTCTGTCACCCATTTCATCAAGTGACCTCTCATCTTCTGTAAACTAATACAGGAATTCTATCCAAAGCAATGTCTAAAAACCCTTTTTTTAAAAGTAACAGTTTGGTATGCTTATTGTAGATAAATTATTTTTGAGGCCTTCATTTTAGCTAAGTTTAGAATTTATGTTAGGCAACTAAGATTTGAGTGGCTATTCATTGAGTAATTTTCTACTATATTTTATTGAACATTTATTTAAAAATATGTAACTCATGGTCAAAAAATAGGTGATTCATGGTCCCGACACTGAAGTTGTTTAGCGATTTAGTCATCAAGGGCAGTCTTCTCTTGTTTCTAATGCCATACTAATCAAGACAGTATGGACACTTGTATCTTAATTACCAAGGAATTACTAGTAATTGTTTTATTTTATCCATGTACTCTTAGTATTTAATAATTAAATACCTATTCTTAGTGCTTGACACTCCATATTTCTGTTTTTTGGAAATGAAACAAATATGCAGTCCAAAATTCAGAAACTACTAGAGTGAAATGCTGTTAAGTGGAAACCGGAGATAAATGCTGTTATTTTAACAAGTAGATTCTTTTCCAAAGAATAATGAGTGATTCTTGGGAAGATAAATTTTAATGTTCCCAATAGTCAAGCTTGTTTTGTAGTAGTGAAAAGCTTACATGAGTACGGGTGCCTCATTTGAAACTCAGCCTAGTAAGGAAGTGAAAACTTAGCAGTCAGTGACATGGGGAAATAGCTGTAGAAAGTGTCATCTATTTTTTTCGTATTTATAGTTAATCATCTGCATATTTTTGTCTTGTTGATCATTACCTGTAAATGAAAGACCTTAATAGGAAAAAAAAAAAAAGAGTAAAGCTCAGTGTGAATGCAAATATCCAGTGATCTTCCTTTGTATTCTGTGATGTTCTTTATAAATGAATGCCTCAGTTCTCTGCTACCCTTTTCACAGCTTTGTACTGTTGCCTTATATTGTTTGTGCTTTTAAAGTGTGTCTATTGGGAAAACAAAATGTGTAGGTGGTTTGTAAGTGAATAATTTTTATTTCTTTTTGTATTAAAATTTTGCTTTTTTTTCTACTTTGGGAGATGTTTTTTACATTGTCAGACTACTCACAAAACAGATTTTAAAATTTGTTTGCTCGTGTGCTTTTCCCTTCAATGTGATATCAGAGATTACTATGAATGTTAGTTTCATTCCATGAAAAATTACTTCCATATAAAGATAGATCTCTTAATAAGTGAATCTAGTGGAAGAACATAGGTATCATTCTAATTCCATGATGAATTTTGTCATGATTCTATGTGAATAATGGGGTCCTTCAGGAAGCTGGAGCTTTTAATTGCAGTGAAGTTCTCTATAACTTCTAAATTCAGATTTCTAGATCCTTGCTTTTGCAGAATTTGGTGCTCAGATAATATTTAAGGATATTTCAGCGAGACAAACTGCATGTTTTTATCAAGTACCCTGTGCACCGCATTATATCTGGCAATTCTTTTTGTTTCATTATATGCATCAATATTTTTCTCAGCTACTATTACCTGAAACTTGTTTAACATGTATTAGACCTAGAATTTTCATTTTCTTTCTCACATAGTTGCTTCCTGGTATCTGATTGAAAAATAACATTAAAATGCCAAATACCTGTGGGATTTAAGGAAGGGTCTATATGAGTAGGTAAATTAGCAGTATTGTTTTTGTTTAGTGGATTTTGTTAGTGACTTTTTTTGTGTTTTGCTTTGGGGCCTTTTTATTTTGGTGTTGTAAAAAGTAACAGATATTTTCATCATTGCTTCATATGACATGGAGTTAGGACAGGGAAAAATCATTCAACTATTCTTATGCATTAAGAGATCAAATAAACCAGTGTGGGATATTAAGACTATCAATTGGTGGGATTAGGCTTGCCATTTTATTTTTATAAATATATATTTTTTCTGAATGTGTCTGAGTCCAAGAGTGGGCAAAAAATAATTTTCTACTTTGGACTAATCTATAGAGGTTTTTGAAAGTCTGCATTACTAACTTGTTGAATTCATGATATTCTGCCTATGGCACAAATTGTAAACCTTTGTTTTTCTAAAATAAAGTAATTGAAAACCTGTAATTGTTATTTTTACTGTGTATCCTGGTTGTTTGCAATAAGAATAGTTCTGTGTTCACGGTGAAACCCTGTCTCTACTAAAAATACAAAAAATCTAGCCGGGCGAGGTGGCGGGCGCCTGTAGTCCCAGCTACTCGGGAGGCTGAGGCCGGAGAATGGCGGGAACCCGGGAGGCGGAGCTTGCAGTGAGCTGATATCCGGCCACTGCACTCCAGCCTGGGCGACAGAGCCAGACTCCGACTCAAAAAAAACAAAAACAACAACAAAAACAAACAAAAAAGAATAGTTCTGTGTTCAAAGACAACAGCTACAGCTGTGTCTTCCAGAAAGTGTTTCCTTGTATTAAAATTACAATTATAGAAACGTAGAATTCTAGAGAAGAGAGAGATCAGATTGCAGTCTCATTCTACTAGATTACAAATCAAGAACCTGAGATTCATAGGTTTGATACAGTTTGTATTTGACCAACCTGATAATTTTAAAGTATTTTTTCCAAAAGCATATCTTATAGTTTATTTTGAGAAGAATTTCAGTCCTTAAATCAACTGCCAAATTATCTTTGACACCACACAACCACATTTAAAACCTCAAGTTTCTAAAAAATTTTGTTTTAAATAGTATCAGGTATATTAGGAAAAAAAGGCTTTATACAAACGTTAATTTTAAAAGTACTTTCGTATGTATATATATATATTTTTTAACAAGGACATCTCTTTTAATGAGAGTGACTGGCACAGGAATAACAGCATGGACCCACAAACCTGTGAATTTGCAGACTGGCTGGTTAGGATGGGCCTCTTCTAATAAGGGTGGTCAAGCACAGCACATTGAGCTGTTTATAAATTTCACAGGAGTGTGATGGAGGCTTCTCATCTCTGTTGAGTGGCTGTATTGCACTGTGTGTGTGGAAGCTCCGGTGTCAATCTCCCTGGTTCACCTCTTTCTGTCATTTACCTGTGTAAAGTTGAGTGAGCCACTTAATCATTCTGCTCCCGCGTTGTCTAATTGGAGGATGATGGCACCTATCTCGTTGGATTGTGAAGAGAAATGAGTTGCACATGACATGTATTTAGAACGGTGACTGGCATACAGTAACAGCTAAAATATTAACTATAATGTTTTTTAGATTTAATTGATTTCTCACTTTATTTAGAATTTATACCATTATTTACCACAGAGAAAAGCCAAGTCATCAGGAATGTGAAATTCTAATGTTTTAAGTTTGCTTGGCTACTTTCTGCAATGTAAGTTCTAACATTTAGGATAGAAATGAAAAAAATTACTTTGACATAAAAATTAAGCAATTACAAATATTTAGGTTCAGATGTCTTGGAAAAATCCTCTGGTTTTTGTGCTTCTAGTGAAAATGAATATACATAAGCAGATATAAACCAGTAAGATTATTGGTTGATGTATGTGAATAGAAAGACATAAATGTCAGATTTAAAATAATGAATATTGAATATAGATAGGAAAATTATCTGATTTTCCTGCTAGCATACCTCACTGTAGTCAAGTGCTCAACTTTTCACTAAGCTCATCTCTGGTAAACTGAAATGATAACTAATGAGAAGTGGCAATTTTTTGTGTGATTTATTCTGTTTTTAAATTTATTTTTAGAAGCAGAGTCTCACTGTGTTGCCCAGGGTGGAGTGCAGTGGCACAATCATAGCTCATTGCAGCCTAGAACTCCTGGGCTCAAGTGATCCTCCTGCTTCAACCTCCCAAGTAGCTAGGACTATAGGCACACACCACCACATTCAGCTAATTTTTAAATTTTTTGTAAGCAGAGGTGAGTCTCGAACTCCTGGCTTTAAGCAATCTTTCTGCTTTGCCCAGATTTATTCTTTCAATAAACGTTTAAGAAATATCTTTTATTCTATTGAATATACAGCAGCAAAAAACAGTCATAGCTTCAGTCTTCATTAAGTTTTTAGCTACTGTGATTGTTCAGTTTTTACTTAAAATGCTCAATTGGAAATCTTCCATTTTTCTGTTTTTCTTAGTTTCTCTTCTTACACAATCTATTGTTCAACATAAGAGCACTGATAATTGATCTCTGGGACTCAGAGGGTTAGTGACCAAGACAAAACAGAACATACCAGCTTGCTTCAAATATATGAAGGGGTCAGATTTACTCAGCATGTCTGCAACTGTGTTAGTTCTATGGATAGAAGTTAACAGAGAAATTGAACGCAGTTCAAGGTAAGGCAACAACAAAAAGAATATCCCGAGATAAAATGGGCTGTTGGAGGCTCAGAGTTCTCACAGTGCAAATGTTTTTCAAGCTAGAAAACTCCTCGGTATTGGTTTCTTCAAGACTGAGATTCTGTGAGTCCATAAATGTAAGCAGTAAAGCCACCATCCATGCCCATGTGTGTGACAGTCTCCTCTTTTAATAACAAAAAGATCCAAAAAGGTTTTTAGCCAACTTTAATATATCAAGTTTTGTTTGGGTGGATGAAAAAGTCCAGTGAAGCTGAATTTATAGAAACTGAGACTATTTCTCCACCCATCTAAATTTTTCACAGGAATCTTTGCATCACTGTCTTAGTTCATAAGTGTCAATGGTCATTTACTAATTTATATAAAAATAGTTTTCTTCTATTAAAGTTGATTTGCCAGTTTCTGCATCTGTTTGATGCAACCACTGGAAATTCTATTTCCAATTATAAACACACAGTCAAAAACACAGTAAACATTTAATAGTTAAAATTATGAGGCTGTATACACAATCTGTGTAACTAATAAATCTGTGTTACATTATTTTATCTTTTTATTTTTATTTATTTATTTTTTTTTGAGATTGAGTCTTGCTCTGTCACCCAGGCTAGAGTGCAGTGGCATGATGATGTCGGCTCACTGCAACCTCCGCCTCCCAGGTTCAAGCAATTCTCCTGCCTCACCCTCCTGAGTAGCTGGGATTACAGGCATGTGCCACCATTCCAGGCTAATTGTTTGTATTTTCAGTAGAGACCGGGTTTCACCATGTTAGCCAGGATGGTCTCGATCTCCTGACCTCGTGATTCACCCACCTCGGCCTCCCAAAGTGCTGGAATTACAGGCCAGAAAGCCAGGATCTGTCTGTGACTTATTTTCTTCAACACCATGTATCTAATCTGTGAGAAATGCCCATCAGTTGTATCTTTAAAATATATTCAGAAACCAAACTTTGCATGGCTTTCAAGACTAGCATCTGGGTTCAGGCCACCATTACCCTTTACCCTGGTAAGGGCTTCCGTCATAGCCTGACTGTGGTCTACTGTTGAAAGAGGAACTGAAGTCATTTTTTTTACAATGTGATATGGTTTGCCTCTGTGTCCCCACCCATATCTCATATTGAATTGTAATCCCTAGTGTTGGAGGTGAAGCCTGTTGGGAGGTGATTGGATTATGGGGACAGATCCCCCTTGCTTTTCTCTTGATAGTGAGTGAATTCTCATGAGATCTGGTTGTTTAAAAGTGTGTGGCACTTCCCCCTTTGCTCTCTCTCTCTCTGGCCGCCATGCGAAGAAGGTGCTTCCTTCTCCTTCACCTTATGTCATGATTGTAAGTTTCCTGAGACGTCCCCAGATTTGCTTCCTATACAACCTGTGGAACTGTGAGTCTCTTCATACATTACCTCTTCTCTTCATAAATTACCCAGTCTCAGGTAGTTCTTTATAGCAATGTGAGAATGGACTAATACACAATATAAGGCAGGTTAAGTCATTTTTCTGCTCAAAACATTCCTTAGTATAATATCCAACATCATTACCATAGCCTATGTTACTGCTTGAATTGTGTCCCCCCAAAATTCATACATTGAAGTCCTAACCCCAGGTACCTCAGATTGTGACCTTATTTGGAAATAGGGTTGTTGCAGATGTAATTAGTTAAGATGAGGTTTCACTGGAGTAGGGTGGGCCCTAATATCAGATAGTTGTGATGTGCAGCATTATTTCTGGGTTCTCCATTCTGTTCCATTGGTCTATGTGCCTGTTTTTGTACCAGTACCATGCTGTTTTGTTCACTGTGACTTTGTAGTACAGTTTGAAGTTGGGTAATGTGATTCCTCCAACTTTGGTCCTTCTACTTAGGATTACCTTGGCTATTCAGGGTCTTTTTTGATTCTTATATAAAGAGGAAATTTGGAGACAGACAAGCACCCGTCGAGAATACCACATGAAGACGAAGGCAGAGATGGAGTGATGATGCTTCTACAAGCCAGGGAATGCCAAAGATGACCAGCAAATCACAAGAAGCTAGGGCAGATGCCAGAAACTGATTCTTCCTCACACCTCTGGAAAAGAACTGACTCTGTGGATGCCTTGGACTTCTAGCCTCCAGAACTGGGAAACTGTTTCTGTTGCTGAAGTCACCCAGTTTGTGGCACTTTGTTATGGCAGCCCCAGCAAATTCAAATAGCTTCTAATGCTTTCCAACAGTCTCCCTGCCTCCCACTGTTAACACATTTAACTCCAGTGCACCTATCTCCTGGCTCATTTCCTTCCAGCTTCCTGACCTCTGCTGTTCCTGGAACACACCCAGATGCTCCTTTGCACTTTCTGGTCCTCCTGATGAGAATAACATTCTTCTTGATACCCACAGGACTTCCTCAATCACTTTCATCACCTTATCATTAATGCCTTTATGACCTACTCTCTGTAAATTGACCTCCTGGCCTCCGGTTCTTCATCCCTTTACAGTGCGCTTTTTTTTTTTTTTTTTTTTTAGGTTTGGGGATACATGTGAAGGTTTGTTATATTAATATGTTATGGGGATTCATTGTACATAGTATTATTACATCACCCAGGTATTAAGCTCAGTACCCAATAGTTATCTTTTCCTCCTCTCCCTCCTCTGAACCTTAACCCTCAGGTATATCCCAGTATTTGTTTTCTTCATTGTGTTCACAAGCTCTTATCATTCAGCTCCCACTTACAATTGAAAACATGTGGTATGTGGTTTTCTGTTCCTGTGTTAATTTGCTAAGGATATTAGCCTCCAGTTCCATTGATGTC